CCCTCACCACCCCCTACCTCGCCTCCCCCTCCCTCGCCACCTCCTCCCTAGGCGTCTCCTCCCTTGCCGCCTCCTCCCTCGCCGCCTCCTCCTTCGCCGCCTCATCCCTTGCCGTCCTCGCCGCCCCCTGCCTCGCCATCTCCTCCCTCGCCGCTTCCTCCCTTGCCGCCTCATCCCTTGCCGCCTCCTCCCTCACCGCCTCCCCTCTCGCCTCCTTCCCCGCCGCCTCCTCCCTCGCTTCCTCCTCTCTCGCCTCCTCCCCCTCGCCGCCTCCTCCCTCGCCGCCTCCGCCCTCGCCGCCTCCTCCCTCGTCGCCTCTCCCCTCGCCGCCTCCTCCCTCGCCGCCTTCCCCCTTGCCGCCTCCTCCCTTGCCACCTCCTCCCTCGCCGCCCCCTCCCTCGCCTCCTCCTCCCTCGCTTCCTCCTCGCTCGCCGCCTCCTCCCTTGCCGTCTCCTCCCTCGCCGCCTCCTCCCTCGCCTTCGCCTCCTCCCTCGCCGCCTCCTCCCTCGCCGCCTTCTCCCTCGTCGCCTCCTCCCTCGCCGTCCCCTCCCTCACGACCTCCCCTCTTGCCTCCTCCTCCCTCGCCGCCTCCTTCCTCGATTCCTCCTCTCTTGCCTCCTCCTCCCTCGCCGCCTCCTCCCTCGCCGCCTCCTCCCTCGCCGCCTCCTCCCTCGCCGACTCCTCCCTCGCCGCCTCCTCCCTACTAGCTCCGAGTAGAGGGGGCGTTCTGCTGCTAGGGGAAACCTGGAGCGCGGAGCTAACCCTCGGAGACCCGTGTTTAATTTACGGCCCTTTCCCTGCGAACGCGCACCCCCCTAGGGGCTAGGGCTCTCTTGCCCGCAACCCGATCCCGATCATCCGGCCCGCTGGGTGCGCTTCTCAGCTCCCCGGCCCTGGATGTGAGGCTAATGACTGCACTCCAAGTGCTCCAAGTGTTGCGATCCCCTTATGGCCCTGCGAACACTTTACGGCGCTTTCCCTGCGAACGCGCACCCCCGGGGCTAGGGCTCTCTAGCCCGTAACCCGATGCCAATCATCCGGCCCGCTGGGTGCGCTTCTTAGCTCCCCGGCCCTGGATGTGAGGCTACCGACTGCACTCCAAGTGCTCCAAGAAACAACATCTTCACACTAGCGGTCCGTGTTACGAGGGGCAAGCTGTAACACGTACACCAGGGGCAGAGACCCGTCGTTTAACAGCACTTGCTCGTGGAGGTGGCGATCTTGGAGGTACAAGTGCTCGAAACGGAGAAGAGTGGATGGACCTGTGAGTGAGAGAGAGAAACTCGAAATCTATATCGTACCGGTACCCTCACGACACAGTGCGCGGCTGCCACGGAACCAGAACGGGTTCTGCCACCAACACGAGGTCACCGGAGAGCAGCTGAGAGTCTGCTGAGAGTCTGCCTCCGCCCTCGTCCCCCTTCACCTCCGGTGAGTCGCCCTGCCGCTGCCCCAGTCGTCCAGAGCACGACCTGCTCTGGCTAGTCAGCCAGCCCCACTCTGCGGGCGCCATGAAGCGATCGCCAACTCGCTGGTCGCTCCGCAAGGCCTCCCGGACCACATCGAATTCATCGAAGCGGGCTCTGCTCTCTCGGCTACTGACCGGCCCCAGCTTCGTTTCGGCCTTAGCGTTCGGCTGAGGGCTGACAAACTGCGCCGCGAGCCCAAATCACTGTGAGAGTCGTGATTTCTTGAGTTGTTGTGGTTTTCAAAATCTCCCCCCCCCCCCCCCTCTCTCCTGCTGCTGCTCGAATTCTGCTGCTTCTCCTGAACCTGATGAGGCTGAGCAACGACATGTTCATGTATGTATTGGCGGCACATGATCGGAGTGGGAGCAGTGCCACAGTCAGAAAGGGTGGTTCCTTTCGAGCCAATTCGAGGAAGGAGAGCTCGACAAACTGGGAGAGCACTTGGTCTTGCTCTTGGAGCACTTGGAGAGAGATTTTTGTCTTTAAGTTACTTTTGCAAACTGGAGGACCCGACAACACAGATACGCTGGTTGCTGTGAGGAGAGCGGAGTTACGCCGAGAGGCGAGAGAAGCCGCGAGAGCAAGGAAGGGCTCGGCAGGCGTCGGCGTCATCGCAGTATCGCAGAACGAGGCCGAGGAGAGCGACGTGGCAGAGGCCAACACGGGACGAGTGATGGACGATGAGGGTGGGACGATCGCGAGGCAGCAGGCAGGTCCGCCCACCAACACAGGCTATAAAAGAAATCGCACTGGCATAATGCAGATGGGAGGGGGATGTGCCCAGCGCCCCCCACAGGCGCTGCCATGTGCCAACTCGTCCACATGGAGCATGGTCGTCCGGATTGGTCCAAGGGGCTCGTTGTGCGAGTATATGGGACATGATGTCTCAAATATGAGGGGTTTTGACTCGTACCAGCTCCTGACGCTATCCCTGGCAGCTCTAATGACCAGGATCAGTAGTGCTATGATAGAGGGTGCCCATACTAGCGCAGGAGCTGCCACACTCGCCCGGACCGTCCCCTTCTGGGGCCGGTTCCGCAGCCCGCGAGAGCCGACTGCGGGGCCGTGCCGCGGGTGCCTCCTGCCGAGTGCCACAAACACTGCGCCGTCCCGGGTCCCGCCATCACCTACAGGCTCGCGGATGGACGGCGACCGTGCTACAACGATCTCGCGATGCGGCACGGCTCGAGTTCGCCAGTGCCGATTCGAGTGGCGCCGCATTCGAACCAGTATGGCTCAAGAGCGCCGTCCACAAAATCGCATGATCGTCGGCGCGGTCTGCCCAGGCTTGAGAGGTGGCATGATCCATTGAACAAGGGTCGAAGAGGTATGAAAACGAATTTAACAAAAGAATTGAAGCACGGGCGCAGCGCCACAAACTTCTTGAAGAAGCCGGCGACGGGTCGCTGTGGGCTCTCCGGCATGCCCCTCCTCCACACGATCACGAAGATTGTCGCGACACTCCCTCTCCTCACCGGGCCGCTGATGCTAGCTGCGGGTCTCGGAGTGGTCGAGCTCCCTCCCGCACTCGCCCGTGCGAATGGTGGCTCGGGGCTGGACAAGTTCATGTGGGCAGAGGATTTTTACGGGGTGCCAAAGCCGCATCTTCTCAGCGCGGTCGGCATCTGCAAGATTCTTGCGCTGCTCGACATATGGCTCCTGCGGATCGTCCCGCAGTTCACGCTAGTCTGTGTCGCGATCCTGATGGGAGCGGTTGCGCACGGGCATATCGCAGTGCAGGACGAGGACCAGGGGATTCCTCCCATCCTCCTCGGAGTGGCCGCGCTCGTCGCCGCAGTCACCTGCACGCGGGGTCAAGAGAAGAGGGACTAGAAACGAGTCGTGAGGTCGGGGTGGAGCTTGATGTGGGCATTGCACGCCGTGGTCCTGTCAACAGCCTGTCTCCTGTGAAGCGAGTCGTAGCCTAGACACACCGCCTGAGCTCCTCCTGAAACACCTCGATCGAGGAGGGTGCGCGCGGTATTGGGCGGTGCTGCATTACATGTGCTTTTAATGTTGCCACGGTGTGGCCTCGCTGGCTCTGCCCTCGCAGCTCGCTTGTGCGCTCTGTGTGACACGTCTGACACTGAGGGCGGCCTCTCTCAGCTCTCACAGACTCTCTCTCTCTCTTGTTGAGGGGGCAAAGGGCAAAAAGAGTGGCGCGATGAACGCGCCGCGCGGGGCGCCGCCTCACCGGCCCTCGCCAACGCCTCAAAAGTGGCGCAGAGAGTGAGGCGGCGCACCGCGAGTGAGCATGTGAGCCCCGTCGGTGGCTCCAACCGGGCCCTTCCTTTTTTTGAGCAGGTGTGCCGCCGCGCGAGCGACGCTCCGAGATCGCCCGAGATGGCGCGGCGCGGCCCCGAGATCGCCCGAGATTGCGCGAGATCGCCCGAGATTGCGCGGCGCGGCCCGGGGCGAGGTGGATGGGTTGGGAGCGAGGGGGTGGAAGTGATCAGTGCGGTAGATCGGTCAGTCGGGGCGCAAGAGGTGGCCTGTGAGCCATCCGGCTTACATTTACCCTGCGTTCTTGCACATGGAGAGAAGCAAAAAACCTTCTCGCACACCCGTGACGAAAAACGGACGCACACCAAGCGCTAAGCGTGAGGACGCGATTTCGAATTCGGAGGTGCATCTGAGCAAAATTGGGCCCGCTCAGGTGTGAAAAAAATTATAAGGGTCAAAGCTGCCGATTCGATCCGGAAGCCACTCGACCACCGAGCGGCCGACGGCCGAAGTAAGCAGAGTAGGATGATGGTCTAGAGGTAGGTGTCCACTCAGCGAACGATACCCGTAACACATTACCGGGGGAATTAGACGTATGGTTCTTGCACTTGTGCAAGATTGGGCGTCTTCTGCCGCAGTCCCTTTGATGGGAGGCCCCAGGGTGGGGGCCACCTCGAACCCCCGGCCAGGGATTCGAGCGGAGGGTGCCCCGGATTCATCTATCCGTTGGGCCCCGGCACCTATTTTAGAACTGATCACTTTGCGCAGCAACCGTCGGCCGCCGCTTTTTAGCTGGACGGCGGTACGCTGCGCCGTCGCTCTGTCGTGCACGCTCTCGTGCCTCGTTGTTGTGACACGGGAGTAGAGTCGAGAGGTAGCCCTCGACGAGACGACCGGCGCCGCGATGCCAGACCTCACTGCCGCCGAGCTCAGCATTCCGGCCGAGCAGCACCCCGATCCCGCAAAGCCACTGGTGATACCCGTCGACTCAACAGTGGTAGGCTCTACCCTGCGCTTCATTCCGTGGTCTGTGGTGGGCAATCCGGCCCTCCTCCAGCTGCCCCCTCCTCCTCCGGGGATGCAACCGTCGTGGGTCCAGATTCCGCAGTGGGTCGCCATCAGTGCGCTGCTCGCCTTCAGTGAGCCCGAGCCCGCTGTGGCCACCCACTTTGACAGGCTCAGCGTCTTGCGGCTGGCCGTATTGGCCGCGGCCTGGCGCCGCATCCTCGGTGCCTTGTCCGACCTCGGCGTTTTCAGCACGGTGCACGTGGATGAGGATGCGTTCCGTACGGTGTGCATCCAGGCTCTGCACTCCCGCCAAATCCCGGTGCCCGAGCTCTATCTGCAGTGGGGCGATTTGGGGTACTCTGAGGCTATCGTGCCCTTGGGACCAGCGCCATCTGCAGAAGCGAAGGCCGTCGACTTCTTGCAGTACGCGACGGTCGGGGCTCTTTGCGACCCTACGGCCGACGTCCCGTTCGCAGCCCTGTCTGACATGACCCGCTGCTTGGGGCCCGTCTTCACGGCGGCGGCGCGCGTCGATCCCATGGGGAGCGCCGTCGTGGGGGCTGCATCGCTCGCCGCCGCCGCTGGTCACATCAGAGGAGGGGCGATCCCATCAGGAGGTCGTTCCGTGCGACTCGGCTCCCCCCGCAGACCGCCCTCAGTGGGGAGCCCTCCTTTTCCTGGGCGCACATGGTGGTGGCGGCGACGATACTCCAAACCGGCGAAGGCATGGGCAGCTCGAGGAGGCGACCGCTGGCCCTCTCCTGTCGGACTGATGGCCCGAAACAACTACCAAGACTTTGTCGAGCTCAACGTCTCTACCTGTGGCGCGACCGACGCAACTGCGGAGGTGTTAACTGCTGTCGGCAACAGCCAGCCGGAGGGCAACCTCGTTAGGAGGCTAGAGATCTCCCTCATCCGGAGGGAGGATCGCCCTGCCACAGCTACGCGAGCGACGCCAGCTTGCGAGACGTTCAATTCGAGCATTCGGGCCGCGCGACCTATGGAGACGCAGCCAGAGGCAAGCGTGGGCGCTGCCCAAGCGGATCGCCGGCAACTAGTGCCGCCCGCGCCTGGCGCGACCGCCTTCAAGCGCGGGCGGCCCGTGACTTTGCTCCATCAAACGGGACAAGGCAAAAACACAGTTGCACAGATACATGCCGGCGGCGCGACTCCCCCCCGCAGATCGCCCTCAGTGGGGGAGACCGCGACACCGGTGACGGAGCGCAGTTGGGAGTGTCTTCGGCTCACGCCAGGGCGCTCGTTGCTCCTCCGTCTCTTTGTATCTTCCATACTGCGTTTATCAGAAGACGTATGGTTCTTGCACTTGTGCAAGATTGGGCGTCTTCTGCCGCAGTCCCTTTGATGGGAGGCCCCAGGGTGGGGGCCACCTCGAACCCCCGGCCAGGGATTCGAGCGGAGGGTGCCCCGGATTCATCTATCCGTTGGGCCCCGGCACCTATTTTAGAACTGATCACTTTGCGCAGCAACCGTCGGCCGCCGCTTTTTAGCTGGACGGCGGTACGCTGCGCCGTCGCTCTGTCGTGCACGCTCTCGTGCCTCGTTGTTGTGACCCACCCTGTCCCACCCGTGTGTGATCAGTGTCTACGGAGGGAGTGTCTTCGGCTCACGCCAGGGCGCTCGTTGCTCCTCCGTCTCTTTGTATCTTCCATACTGCGTTTATCAGAAGACACAACAGATACGCACAACCGACGCCCGAAGTGCCAAGAAGGACGTCATTAGTACGAAACCTCAGGCCGAGAGAACACTCCCCCGAGAGCAAAAAAAAGGGAGAAGAGGAATGGGGGAAAGAAAAAGGGTCCGGTTTAAGGGAAAAGGGCGCCGAAAAGGGCGCGCTCATCCGTTTCACCTGGTCGACCCCCGCTGGATGAGCGGCGAGGGAGGAGCTGGATACACCGGCCGCTCGCATCATGGCGCGTCGCGAGAGCCGCGCCGCGATGCCGGACCGGCTCAAGGTGGCGGCGCCGGACGACAGCTCGGATGAGGAGTGGAACGGAGACGACGACGAGGATGAGGAGGAGGCCGGTCGCGTTTACTTGGACGCGTCGAAGTGTGGCCGCGTGCGCTTGCACGCGGTGCAAGGAGCTGCGCAGTCGTCCTCCGGCCTGGGGGTGGACGACGAACGGCGCAAGAGCCTGGCCGACAAGGGCTGGGCACGCCGCACGGTGGCGGTGAACAGCGTGGGTGCCAGCGGTGCGGCGAGCTTCGAGTTGGTGCCGGGGCGCGAGCAGTTCGGCCCGGGCGACGATGCGGCAGCCGAGTGGGAGCGGCAGATGCTGCAGTTCACGGAGGACAACTTCGAGGACACGGGCATCGAGGTGCGGTCGATGGACAAGCGTGATCGCGAGATCGGGCTGTTCGGCGACTTTCTGGAGCGCGTGAAGCACGGCAAGTTCGTCGAGTGGCGGGCCGACCCGGAGCACGCGGGGTTGTACAAGAAACGGTTTAAAGAAACAAAATATAAAGGAAAGCGAAAGGAAAAGAGAAAGGAAAGGAAAAGAGACGGGGTGCGAGAGGAAAAGCTTGCATCAGCCTAACGACGAGAAGAGGGGTGGGAGGATGGTACGTTCGAGCACTTGCGAAAAGAGACCCCGAGGTGTGCGGCGCTAGAAAGAAAAAGGGATGCATTCTTTCGTGCGTGCTACCTTAGGGAGCCTAGGTAAGCTAAGTGCGACCTGGTAGCTCCACGGGCATGGCGGAAGCAGCCGCTGCCCCGGGCGGCGCGGCGGAGGGTCCCTCGTCGAGGAAACGCAAAAAGGAAAGGTCGAAAGGATTAGAGCTCGTCGCGGTCGCGTTTCTTTGTTTAGCTGCGCCCCACCGCGTCGACAGAAAGGAAAGGAAAAGAGACGGGGTGCGAGAGGAAAAGCTTGTTCAGCCTAACGAGCTGACGCAGTCTCGCCGAGGCGGGTTGACTCACCAGATAAAACCCCGAGAGGCGTGGGAGTACCTCGAGGATGGAGGAAGAGTCCCCCCGCCTTGACTTCACACACAAGTTCTGACGTCGAAAAGGAAAGGAAAAGAGACGGGGTGCGAGAGGAAAAGCTTGTTCAGCCTAAGCCGTTACCGCCTGGTAACGCCGAAGAGATCGGTCGGTCGGGTGGGTGAAAGGAAAGGAAAACAGACGGGGTGCGAGAGGAAAACCTCGTACAGCCTAAGTAGAGGCCACCCATGTGCACAATATCTTGACTGAGAGCTAAGCCAGGGGAGGCGAAAAGCAAAAAAGGGTAAGGCCCGCGCGCAGGGGGGTGGGACATTGAGACCGGTCATGAATGAGTGCGCGACACGCATGTTAAAACAACAATGACGTGTGAGTGTTAGAGTTGTTTGGTATTGCTAAAAATCTCTCTCCGCATGTTGCGAGCAGCGTTGTTGATGTTTTGCGCGTCGGCCTTGTTTTGAGAAGAAAAAAAGCAATATGCATAGGCCTATCATAGGGCCTAGTCCCTAGAAGGCCCGCGCGCAGGGGGGGGGGGACATTGAGACCGGTCATGAATGAGTGCGCGACACGCATGTTGCGAGCAGCGTTGTTGATGTTTTGCGCATCGCCACAGACGGCGGCGCGAGAGAGCTGTTGCGAGTGGTGCTGGGCGAAGCGGCAAGCCCCGGGCGCTGCCGGAGGCTGTGCCGTAGTCGGTGCGGTCGACGGAAAGGAAAGGAAAAAGGAAAAAGCACAACCAAACCTCCTTCCCAGGTTACCCCTGCCAAATGTCGCCGCTCTCGGGGCATGCTATCCTGTGTAAGCAGGGCAGGTGCGAGGTGGGGGAGGGGGGCAGTCCCTCTGGTCTGATACTGGTGTGGTTCTGTCCCCAGCGTCGGAGTCAAGGGCGAAGCTAAGAATATTTAATTTTTTCTTGCACATGGAGTGCAAGATACTCGTTCTGTTGCCGTCCCAATCTGTCACTCCCCTTTCTCCCGGCCGGGGTGGGGCGCGCGCGGGGGCGGCGGGTGTGCGGGATGTCTGTCGGGGCCCGAGAGCGAGATGCCATGTCGTTGCTTTGTTTCCTAACATCGAAGGCTAGCTCAAAAAAGAGTTCAAGGCTCCTAAAAAAGAATTCTTAACCTTTCGTGAGACACACCTCTTGAGGCACGCGCTCGCCAGTGCAAAGTCTTGCCGCGGCGTCCACGCCTCCCCCGCGGCACGCCGCGCCGCCAGCGGACTCTTCCGCCGCCGCCTGCCTCTCGCGCTGTGGGCGGGACCCGCGGCCAGTCGCCCTCGCCAGCGCACACGGCGCATGCGAGCGGCGTGCTGATGATGTGTGTGTGTCTTCGGCGGTAGCGGTAGTGGTAGGGTGGTGGTACATATACCTGGGCGTAAAGAAAGAAACAAAACATTTCGCACGAGGAGGGTGCGGAGGAACGGCACAGACCACGCCACGACGAATTTTTTCTTCTGGTATACCTGTGTTAGTGCCAGTGCGCGCCAGTCCGGGGCGACGGGTTTTCTTCATACCCCCTTGTGTGCTGTGAGGGAGAGTTGTCTTGTTTAAATTCTTCATACCCCCTTTCGCGCCTGTGGTGGCTCCTCCTTCCCATGGCCGACGCAGCCTCACGCCTCTTCAACACGCTCTTCACCACCTTCTCGGCCGTCTTCCTTGGGTTCGCCTGCGTTAAGCTCCGCCTCATCAGTCCGGGCGAGGGTGACATGAAGGCGCGGCAGCGCGCAGGAGGTGGCAAGGAGAGGGCTTAGATTCGGCTCCCTCTCACCTATTGCCTCCCTCATAGGGCTTCGGCTTCTTCGTCGGCCAGATCGTCTTCCCGCTCCTCATCTTCAAGACGGCGAGGCGGCCCGAGCCACTCTCACGCCCTCGCCTGTAGATACATCCATCGCACGTGCCTGCAGGTAGCGACCGCACAGCTGGAGGGAATGAGCCTGCAGACGCTCCTCGCCTGCAGGTCTGCCTCTGCCCGTGGCGCTAGAACAGCTTAGAGCCTAGCCTCTTGCGCTCGCTGCCCGCTCGCGACCGCCGTCGCCGCATCGGCTCAGCACCCCGCCTCCATCCCGCCATGCAGCCTCGGCAAGGCCACCGTCGTCGGGCTGACATTTGCGGCCACAGTGTGCTTCTACCTGCCGCGCCGGACGCTCGGGGATCGAATCCTGACCGCCTCCGTGTTCGCCTCCTTCGCCATGGCCTCCAACGACTTTGCCATCGGCTTCCCCGTCGTCGACGCGCTCTATGGCGCCACGCACCCTCCGCCAAGCCCGCCTCTGCCTATGCGCATAGCGCGTCACCTCGTGCATGGGCGCCTCCACAGGAGACGGCAAGGCCGAAGGTGGCGTCGACACCGATGCGCTCGTGGCTGGGAACGCGCTCATCGGCCGCCGCGTTGTGCTCACTAGGTCCGTCCAGGACACATCCGTGACATGCTCCACGCTTCGCCCCGTAGGCTCCGCCGTCTTTGTGCCTGGCAGCAGCGCCCTCTCTTGCCTCTGCGACGCTGTAGGATAGCAGCTCTCCACACGTTATGTCCACGAATGGGAGCAGGCGTCACCGTCCTCTTCTCCATCGGCGAGGCCCTCAAGAAGAAGGACGAGCGCGCGGGCGGTGGCAGCGACAGCAGTGAGGCGGCGCTGATCGGAGGGCGCTGGCCAGAGGCCCTCTCCACGGCGCGCTTCATCTCTCCTCCAAACTCCGCCTCCCTGCCCTCGCGCGACCTACCGCAGCTGTAAACGGCGCTGCCCCACACCCCACGGCCTGTGCGCAGGCGCGCGCCATTCTCCTCAACCCCGTGATCACCATGACGCTCGCTGGGCTCGCTGGCTCCCTCTCGCCCATTGGCTCGCGGCGTGGCTCGCGTCTTCACGCCGCGAGGTGTGGGCAGGTTCGCGTACAAGCTCGCCTTTGGCTGGACGCTAACGCTGCGAGACAGCAAGATGAGGCCCGAGCCCCCCCCCCCCCCCCCCCCTCCTTCCGACCTGCTGTGGACGTCGTCTACGGCGTGCACTGTGAGCAGGCTCGAGTTCCCGCACCCGCTCTCCGACCTGCTGGAGCTGCTCACCGCCCCCTTCGGGATGTGCGCCCTCTTCCTGACGGGCACCTCGCTGCGCGGCCTCCGCGTCTCCCTCGTGAGCTGCCTGCTCGTGGCGATGAAGGCGGGGCTGCTAGTCGCGCGCACACACACACACACACGCAGCACAGTTGACCGCGCACCCCACGCCGCAGCACATGCGCGCGACCATCTCTTCACACGGTCGGGTTGCACGGCAGGTGGTGGTGTGCGCGTACGTGTCGTACGCCCTCGCGGGCTCCTCTCCTGCACGGTCAGAAGCTGCGCGGCGGGTGTCTGCCGACTCCATCGCTGATTTTTGACAGGCTCGCTCGTGGACGGCCGCGAGCTGCGCGGATTCAGCTTCCTGTACGGCATGATCCCCACGAGCAGCGCGCCGCTGCTCTTTGCGATGCGCTACTCGCCCGCCAGTGCCGAGCTGCTCGCCTCCTCGATCTTGCTCGGGCTGGTTGCGGCGGGGCCGCTCATGTTCGCGGCGGCGCTCTTCCTGGAGCATGACGAGGACACAGACTGCCCGAGATTGGCCGAGATTGGCCGAGATTGGACGAGATTGGACGGGACGGGCCGAGGTTGTTGGCCGGTGCGCCTCCTCGAGCACGACAAAGACACAGCCACGGTGGATTGACCTCCGAGGCTCCGCCGAGCGCGACCGAGAGAGGCTCCCCCACCCGTAGGAGACCATGGTGGACACACTCAGCCGCGTGCAGCTCACCACCACCCTCGCCGCCTTCGCGTGCGCGGTCCTCTGCCTCGTCTCGCTCCGAGGCAACGATCCGTGATCCGCCTCTTCACACGTCCCGCTATGAACAGACTCTCTGCCTCGCCTCGCTCGGAGGGCTGGCCCTGCGCGACGCCTGGGGCGGCGCAGGCCCGCAAAGGGCGCTGCTGCTCTGCTACGCCGCCACGCTCGTCGTCTACGCGGCGGCGATGGCCGCCATGAGCCCTCTACTCGACGACGGACCCTGCTCGCGGTGCGACGCTTCGCGCTGGCCGTCGCCCGCCGCGTGAATCGACACCGTTCACGCCTCCCGCCGTGAACAGGTACAACGCGTCCCGCGGCTGGTCCGCGATGGTGCGCTGTCGGCCCAATCTCACGACCAACCAAGCTTGTAGCTCACGCGAGCGCACCCCGTTGTGGCAGGCGCTCTTCCTCGGCTGGCTGCAGAACTCGAGCCGCTTCCTGCTGCTCTCGCTCCAGCTCCTCCACACCACCGCCGCGCCGTGGCGAGACCGAGGCACCGCCCTCCTGGTCCCGCACCTTAGCTACAGCTCGGCTGCACCTTAGCTACAGCTCGGCTGCACCTCGGCAGGCGCCGCCCTCCTCGCGCTGAGCCTGCTCCTCGGCGCCGTGCCGAGCGTGCTCGTCTACCCAAACACGCTCAACGAGGTCTGCAGCGCGGTGAAGCCGCGCCTCGACCCCGCCACGCTGCACCTCGCGCCCAACCTCGCGTGGAACGTGCTGCTGCTGCTCACGTGACGGGATCTCCAGCCGCGACACGGCGTGAAAGCGTCTCTTCACGCCTCTACCTGTGAACAGATCGTGCGGCCTCTTCGCCTACGGGTCGACGCGCCCGCACGCGCCACGCCGGTCGACCGCAGCGCTGCCGCCCACCGCCCACTCCTCCGACTCCGACCACGCCTCCGACCCGGCGGCGGACGTCGAGGCTCGCGGGAGGGGGTGCGGCGGAGTCGCGCCTGGGGCGGCGGGCGGAGCGAGCAGAGCCTCGCTCACCGCGTCGATGCGCGCCTCGAGCGCGCTGCCCGACGGCCTCGTGCACGGGCTGGCCGCCTTTGCGACGCTGCGCTTCTTCCTACAGTGCGTCAACACGCTGCTGGTCGAGTTTGATAGCGCCGTCGCGGGCGTGTGCGACCACGCCGGGGGGCTGCCGCCACAGCGCCGCTTCACGCCGTGAGCCGTGAGTAGGCGCCTTTGCCGAGATGCTGGTAATCGAGAATGTGCTCGAGCACTCGCAGGCCGTCGTCTTGCTCGTCCTCCTCGTCTCGGACAGCAGCTTCTCGGGGGCGGTGGCCAAGCTCCGCCCCGCGGCGGGGGGTGAGGGCCAGGGGGGGCGGCGTCAGGGGCTCGGCACGTTCAACATCTTTGCCGTCACCGGCGACGCGGACAGCGCGAGGCGCCCCGTCTCGCTCGAGTCGGACAGCAGCGGTGAGCCGATCGCCGCAGCCGACGGGAGCACGAGCCACCTCTCCGCGACGAGCCACCTCCCCGCTTCCGGGCGCCGCCCGTCGCGCTACGCGTCGCCCGGTGGCATGCCGACGCTCAACTGATCGTGTGTGCGGACTCTTGGCACTGCACTCAGGTTTGTCGTCGGCTCAGACGTCGTCCCCTCGCATATGCTATTTTCAACCACGGGTCACAATCGGAAATGTCTAGTACCTCTGAAGAGACGGGCGCGTGCGGCGGCGTACGACGGCGGTAACGCGTAAGCATTTAGTTAGTGTGCCGACCGCTGTGCGCTGAGCGCTGAACAACAGTAAAGAGAGACAACTAGTCAACACGCAGAACAGAGGGGCCAGCGACAGCGCACAGGTCCCACACCGCGGCACGTGCGCCACACGTGCCTGTTGCGCTCACGCCCTTCGTTCGCTTTCTTGGAGCACTTGGAGTGCAGTAGGTAACCTCACACCCCCAGGGCCGGGGAGCTAGATCTAAGAAGCGCACCCCCGTGGACTGAAGTTTCTCTGTTCCTGTGTTAGTGCCAGTGCGCGCCAGTCCCCTGCCCAGTGTTGTGCGAGATCTTGTAAAACAGTAGGGGGAGGGCTCCCAGGGCTTCGAGGTTTTTTCAGTTGTTTTTATCGTGCGCTGCTCACTCGCTATACACTGAGTGGAGAGAGAGGTACACCACACACACAAACACTACTCCCCAACACGCGGCTAGCCAGGCCTGCCTGCTACACGATGGCGACGTTCTCAGGGTTCTGTCTGCGTGCTTTTGCTGCCTCCCGCTTGGAGTCGGCAGTAAAGCAAGTGGGTGGAAGCGGGGGCGACAGGGACGGCGGCGGCGGCGGCAGGGGGCTGGGGGGTCGGCGATGCCGAGGTGTGTGCCCATGTTTGTGCGTGGGGGGCGTTGCACGCCGCGGATCAGGCCGGGCGGCGGGGAGGAATCGGACGGCGACGGCGGCGGCAGGGACAGGGGCAGTGGCGGTGACCCAGGGATGGTGGCGACCGCCGCGAGCGGGCGGGATGCAGCCGGCGAGGCGAGGTGACAGGTGGGCGCGACCGTTGCGCGCTGCTCTGTTTGGGCTCGCTCGAGTTAGCGGTGTGGGCATGGGCATGGGCACATTTCATTTATCAGGGCTTCCGAGGTGAACTTCAGAGGCGGGCCGAAGAATTCTCTGTTCGTCATCACCGCAGGACCGTCGACGGCCTAGCACCACACTCCGTTTAGCATGTCCAGCTCGTCCGGCCAGCTCGTCCACCTCGGCAGCAGCTACTTCGGCACGGACGTCAAGTACGTCTCCGTCGTCCCGGCCGAGCAAGAGGGCAGCGGCGCCTTCCTCGTCTTCGTCTCCGAGGCGACGCCCGAGTCGCGAGACCAGAGTGTCGGAGTGGTCAGGTCGGCGCGCGAGTTCTCTGAGCTGCACGCGGCGCTGCGCGGGCGGATCCTATGCGCAGCGCTACCCGACCTCCCCACCCGGCCGGTCGCCCTACTCGAGGGCTCTGACGGCGGCGAAGCTTTGGAGTTTGCTTACTCGAGGGCTCTGCAGGCATGTCACGCCGCTGCTGCCTGGCCCGCCCTTGGCCCACTGCGCTGCACGTCCGCTGCCCGCCGCTGCGGTCCCGGCATGCAGCACGCTCCCCGCCCACCGGCAGGCGTACCTGGCGGAGCTCGTGGCGCACGAGGACGTCTCTGGCGCCGAAGAGCTGAGCACCTTCACGGGCCGCTCCTTCAAGCTCTCCGCGCCGCCTCCGCCGCGCACAAACGCAGTGCTGGCTCGGGTCCGCTCGGCCAGCCGCCACAATGCAAGACTCACAATGACTGCACGCGTCAGGTGCTCTCTCCTCCGGCGCGTCCCGCCAGCCGCGAGGCGCCGACCCTGGTGCGGCTCGGCTCGGGCAAGGTTGGGGCAGGGTCGCCCGGCGAGGGGAGCGGCAAGGAGGGGGGCGGCAAGGCGACCAAGGTGACGCTCTCGTGGTGCGACGAGTCAGGCGACCACTCCGTCGAGCTTCCGGCGCTGCACAGCCCAAGTCTGCGTCTTAGCCGAGTGGATCCCTTCCGACGCGCGGCTCCACGCGGCAGGTGCTGCACCCAAACTCTGGGCTCGGCAACCCGGTGATCGACGTGCGATCGCTCAACGCAAAGACGGGCTTCTTCACGCACGACCCCGGCTTCACGTCCACCTCGTCGTGTGAGAGCGCCATCTCCTTCATCGACGGCGCGAAGGGCCTGCTGATGCACCGCGGCTACCCGATCGAGCAGCTCGCCTCCTCGTGCTCCTTCCTCGAGGTCAGATCTCCCCACATCTCCCCATATCTCCCATATCTCCCCATATCTCACCTCCTCGTGCTCCTTGCTCGAGGTCAGATCTCCCCCTATCTCCCCACATCTCCCCATATCTCCCCACATCTCGCCTCCTCGTGCTCCTTCCTCGAGGTCGCCTTCCTCCTCATCGAGGGCGAGCTGCCGACGGCGCCTCACCTCGGGCAGCCTCGAGGCGCGTGTGGAGCAGCGTCTCTTCACACCCCTGCTCTGTGAACAGGCGCCGCAGCTCCGCCGCTTCGAGGCGGAGGTGCACAAGAACTGGATGGTGCACGAGAAGCTGCTCTCCTTCTTCGGCGGATTCAAGTCAGACGCTCACCCTATGGCGATCATGGTCTCTGTGGTTGGCGCGCTCTCGGCGTTCTACCCTGACTCGGTCAACATCCACGACGCGGCGCAGCGGCGGCTCTCGGCCATCCGGATGGCGCCAGAGATGTCGCACGGTGCGCCGTGCCGTGCGCGCACCGTCTCTTCACGCCTAACCTGCTGCGAGCAGGTCGCCAAGATGCCCACCATCGCAGCGATCGCGTACAAGACCTCCATCGGCGAGCCCGTCGTCTACCCGTCCAACGCCCTCCCCTTCGCCGCCAACTTTCTGCACATGATGTTTGCGACGCCGGCCGAGCCCTACAAGGTGTCTCCTGCGCAAGGTCGGCCCGGTCCCCGTCCGGAGAGGGGACCCTTCACCACCCCGCCTGTGAACAGGTCGACCCCGTGCACGCCGAGGCGCCTGGAGAGGGAGACAGAGAGAGAAAGAGAGAGACGCCGCACCTCTCCTGCACGAAAGACCGTCGGTTGCAGACGCGCTACTCCGTGCACGACTGCCGCTAGGCGCTGGAGATGATCCTGCTCCTGCACGCCGACCACGAGCAGAACGCCTCCACCTCGACCGTCCGCATCGCATCCTCCTCGCAGGCCAACCCGTTCGCGTGCATCGCCGCCGGCATCGCCCCCCCCCCCCCCCCCCCCTCTCTGGGCCGTCGCGGCTCCAGCTGTGGAGCGCGCGCCCCCTCACGGCGCAGCTGTGAGCAGGCATCGCTTCCCTCTGGGGGCCCGCGCACGGCGGCGCAAACGAGGCGGTGCTGCGGATGCTCGGCGAGATCGGGACGGTGGGAGCGGATCCCCCGCCTTCATCGCCAAGGCGAAGGGACAAGGCGGAACCCCTTCCGGCTGTGAAGGGGTTCGGGCCCCACGCACGTGCTTCTTTTCGTTAGAAGCTGATGCAGAAGGTCCGGCTACCGCGCCCTCGCTGGGCTCGAGGTCGGCCGAGATGAGCCGAGGTTGCCCGAGATTAGGTCTGCCATAGCGTCTTTGCTGGGCTCAACCTCGAGGCACCCCCCCCCCCCTCCCCGCCAGACCTGCACAGCTCGCGGAGGCTGGCCGAGGTCACCCGAGATCGACCGAGATCGACCGAGATTAGGCGCACCCGGACCTGCAGCTCGCGCAGCAGCTCGAGAAGATCGCGCTCGAGGACGAGTACTTCGTCAAGCGCTCCCTCTACCCGAACGTCGACTTTTACTCCGGCATCGTGCTGCGCGCGCTTGGCATCCCGACCGACATGTTCACCGTGCTCTTCGCCGTCGCGCGCACCTCGGGCTGGCTCGCGCAGTGGAACGAGTCCTTCTCCGACCCACAGCAGCGCATCTCCCGCCCGCGCCAGCTCTACTCGGGAGTCGCGAGGCGCGAGTTTGTGCCACTCGCGCAACGCGGCGGCGCAGAGGCGAGCCCGCGCTCTGCCGAGGCTGCGCCTGCGGCCGCGGTGCCGTCCCCGGCCTTTGCTGGCGCCGGTGTCGTCGTGGAGCCGGGACGCTGATCACGTGCATCGATGTCGGTGCTATCTTGTGCGCAGGTGCCACTCCGCTGGAGCCGGTGCGAACTTTTTTGTTTGAGTTTATCTCGTGCGCGTCATTATAACGCGCGGCAGCCGGCGCCCCGCGGCGCGCCACCGCCAGCCCCCTGCCCGCCGCGCCCGCGGCCCCGCCCTCGGCCCTGTGTCGTGTGTGCAGCCGCAGCCCCCGCGCCACCCTTCGGATTCGCCCCCACGCCAATCGCCATGCCCCACGCCAGGTGTCGAGGGTGTGTGAAGTATACATAGACATTACAGAAAACGCATACGGGCCCGTAGTCGAAAAAATGGGCCGCGAAGAAGCTTGTTCGCGCTTCGCACATACTAGCCACACATGCATGATATTTGTGTGCCGGTCTGTGTGGCGGCCTGCGAAGGGCGGCCCCTAGCCAGGCGGAGCTGGTAAGGGGTAGAGGCTATATCTCCGATGATGCAACGCTGTCAGAACGATCCAGCTCGTCGCCATGCCGTTTGGTTGTCGCCCCCTTGGGGAGAAACCGTCCCCGATCGCCACGCTCGCGCGCCTTGGACTGCTCTTTGCGCACGCGGGAGATGCGCAGCTCGCCGCGCGACAGCCTCTCCCTCTGGGCCTCGCGGAACTTGCGTCGCTCCTCGATCCGGAACTTGCGCCGCTCCTGCACCTCGGCTGCGCTCCGCTTCCCTGGCTGCACCCCCATTGCGTACCCACCAACCTGCTCCGGAACTGCGGCTGGGCTCACAGCCAGCCGGAGCTGGTCGGATGCCTTGGGCACGCGTCCGCGCAGGAGCTGGGCTTCCAGGTGGGGCAACACGTGCTCGGGCAATACCGCGGCTTGGGGCAGGGTCTGAAGCCTCTGAAAGGGCTGCGCGGCTGCGCCGGGGCGCAGAAGGACGGGCAAGGCAGTCGCATCCGATGGCGTGCACAGGAGACTGGCTGTGGGCACCACCCCTTGCAGCGGCAGCTGCAGGCCCCTCGCTGCGTAGCTGAGGGCGTCGTCGTGTCGTTGCGGCCACCTGTCCACACCGACGGTGTATAGTTAGCAGGACGCACTTCGCATGTCTGTCCATGTCTGTGTGCCGCGCCGCCAACGGCCAGGGGAGTGAGTGAGGTGGGCTGGGAAGGGGGGGGGGGGGGGGGAGTGCGTGGGATCAGTTTGAGGAAGCGCGTGGCCCGCCGCAAGGGTGGGGCCTCGCGGCAGAATGGCGGGCGCGCATGAATGTCGAGTGCGAGGGTTTGCAATCAGATACCCCCCTCCGTTACCAAACCGTTTCGGCACCTCATGGGGGAGATCATGAAGGATCAAACATTCTACGATGGCACATCCCCCTGACATTTCCTTTTCTCTCCCATGCGACCCATGTACATCCCGCCCTATCTCCCGGTATCTCGGCGCACGTACGTATTCCTCCGTCCGGGACCCCAGTGTGCAGTGACCGCGGCGCGGTGGCAGAATGCCTTGCTTGGTTGGCGCGGCGCTCCGCCTTCTGCCTCTGCTCCGCGGCGGCGCGTGCGCCACGTGAGCCAGCAGCCCTTGCTCTCTACTACCACGTAGTTGCCCATGGCCATGCACCTCAGGCCTACAGGCCTCAGGCGCGCCGCCCGCCCGCCCGGCCGGCGCCGGAGCAGCCCCCACGCGTCGCCGCAAGGCCGCTCGATTTGGCCGCCTTCACTGAGGGAGGGAGGGTGTAGAAGATATAGAGTGTCTTGCGCTGTAGAGCTGTAGAGATGTAGAGCGCTCTGGAGCGCTGTAGAGCTGTAGAGCTCTACATCCACCCCTGCGCAGCCCCTGCGTTGTAGAGCGATGTAGAGCGCGATTTTGCTGTACGAAGGTGGTACCTTAAGGTAGAGTTTGTTGTAGAGGCTCTTTGTCTACAACCAAACTGCTGGGAAGGCAGTGACTCAAAGAGGTCGAGCCGCGTAATGGGGTGTCTCCGAGCTTACTGGAGCTCTGATGGACGGCCCTGACTATCCCTGACACACAGAGTCAGAGAGTCACTCCGACGGTACACAACACCCTATAACTGCGTCATGACCAGCCTGCCATGCGTCGCCGGTGCCGCATTAGTCGCTGTGCTTCTTTAGCAGGCGGTGGACTGTCAGCTGCGCGGAGGACGGTCGCATTTGCGCGAGGCGAGGGTGGCGAGTATTCTGACGCGTTGCATATGCTACGAGGTCGCATATGCGCCATGAACTCGCGCCAGCGCGTGCGGGAGCTCCTGGCTGAGCGTTGAGTCCAGGCGAGTTGCGCTGGCCACTATCGCTACGCCGAGCCGAGCTGACGCGCCGAGGCGCCGTCCGAGCCGAGCTGATGCGCTTGGGAAGCTCGGTTTGTACACCCAACGCGGCGCTCTATCTCTAGAAAAACACTATAAAGCCGTACGGCGTACACCAACCGACGCGACAGTGTAACCTCGACATCTTGTATGGTACCAATCTCGCAATCCACAGCGAGACCGGACTGCGCATATTTATGTTTGCTTGGTACCAGATGTGTATAGTAGCCTTCACGGCGCACCTCGACGGCGCATCGACATGTCATCACGCAGATTCACGTCGGGTGCCGCACCCCACCCCCAACGCTCACCCACACCACAAACCCGTAGCCGTACGGCCTCGCGACACCGACACACGGTGTGGTCTGAGTCCTGGGTCAGTGACTCGTCACACTCCTTGGTCAGTCCTGGGTCAGTCTGAGGCGGCCTCCCCCACCAGCGCCGCCTCGAGCACCGCGATCGACTCGGCGATGAAGTCCGGCCGCTGTTCCGGGCCAGCGGCCGCCGCCGCCTCGGCCGTGGTGGTGCCCGACTCGACGAAGAGAGTGTGCATCCCGGCGGCGCGCCCAAACTCTATGTCCGTGTCGACGCGGTCGCCCACCATGCAAGTGGTGGCTGGGTCGAGGCCGTACGCCGACAGCATGTGCTTCCCGAGGGAGCGGCTCGGCTTGCCTGCCCACACCGCCAGACGCGTCAAGAGAAACGCGGCTCAGCGTGAGATCTTGGCTACATCTCGGCTACATCTCGGCTACATCTCGCCGCACACGATGTCGGGCTCTCGCCCGCTCGTCATCGCCACACAGCGCGCCCACACGCCGCCGGCCGGTGCCAGCGTCGCGGCCTGACAAACGCGCGGTGTGAATAGAAACTCTCGAAGCACGTCGGCTAGATCTCGGCTGCCTCTCGGCCGGACCTCGGCTGCCTCTCGGCTGCCTCTCGGCTGTCTCTCGGCTAGACGTCGCCGTCCCGCCGGCACGCGGCGCGAAACTGTACGCAGGGTCTGGGTTGGTGGAGACGAAGAGGCAGCGTGGGTTGCCGAGGAGGTACGCAGCCGCCTTTGCAACCTTATAGTACGAGATGTCGCCGTCCGCGCCGACAACCACAGCCGATACGTCGCCGGCGGGCGGGTCGAGCGTCGCGATCGAGTGCCTACAGGGTTCCGAGAAGGCTGCCGAGCTGGCTCCTCCCGTTCCCGCGGGCTCGCGATCCCGAGTGCCCCTCCGACTGCAACGTGCGCTTGGACTTGCCGGCGTCGTCGGGGCCGCCGATCGGTCGGACGCCGGCACGCTCGCTGAGCATGCTCATCAGCGCCGGCTCGCCAATCACGTACACATAGCTGCCCTCCACGCCCTTGCTAGAGAGGTAGTCGCCCGCGACGCAGGCGGACGTGGTGATCTCAGACGTGCTGGCATCGATGCCGAGCTTCTCAAACTCGGCCGCCACCATCGCCGGAGACTTTCCTATGGCCGGGATAGTCTCCGATGGTCTTCTGGCGAGTGCGAGGCCGCGTAATGGCACCATCAAAACTTTCCGGCATTGTTGGTCAGGAAGCGCACACCAACACCTGCCTGGCGGAGCGCCGAGAGAGCAGATGCGGCGCCAGGCACTGCGCCGGCGGTGGTGTGTATCACGCCGTCAATGTCAAAGAGGAAGCACTTGATGCGGCTGAGCCACTGCCGGTGCGCCGCCGACGCCGCGTCGAAGCGCTGAGGCGCGCGGGAGGCGGCTGACGACATTGTGTGCCGGGGCGGGAGGTCGAGCGCACCAGCAGGAGTGGAGCTGCAGGCCGAAGGGGCGGCCGAGACACAGGCTCGGAGCTTGTTCGTCGACCTCGCAGGTTGCTCGGTTCGTGGCAACTTTTTGTTCGTCTCCTGCGAGCAAGACGACTGCCTCCGAGGGCTGTGCCAGTGTCGTGTGTGCGAGCGAGTTACTTATAAATTCTTTTTTTAAATCCTGCTGGCAGGTGGGGACCCTGTGTCCTCCTCGCCCATCCCTTGTTTGCGGAAAGCCGAGCGCGTTTTCTTTGACTTTGTCATGGGCTGCGTTGACTGTGGCGCTGGTAAGGCGGGCCCGCCTTGCCGCCCCGCCGCTGGCTGAAGCCGCCGCGAGGAAAGCGAGTGGGGTGAACCTCGTTGTGAATGCCACGTGCCCGCATCGTATGCGGCGTGCGATCTACAGTCGTAGAGGGTAGAGCGCCAGCGCGGCGCCGTCTTGTGTCGGGGATTCCGGTGCACCGGCCACCGCGAGAGCCGAGTCCCGAGACCTCGATGTCCGGAATCGTCGCCTGTCGATTCTAAGGCACCGGCTTTGTGGCCTTTGTTGAAAGGAGGTGATTAGGGGTTACTACAGTACAGGTACACAGTATTTGCAGTAGACACGTGAATGTATGTGTGATGTGTCCCTCTTAATGTGAATGTGTATGTGCGATGTGTGTGTGTTGTGTGAATTTAGGCCGGGCCGGTGCGCTGCCGCTTGGCGGCAGCCGCCTCCGCATACGCGGCCTCGAGCTTGCGGCTCAGCTCGCTCTCCCGCCTCCGACTGAGGCTGGGGGGGGAGCACCATCGTGATCTCCATCTGCATGATCTCGGCCAGCGTCGTTGGCTCCGTCTCGATGGCGCCGCCCTGGCCCTCGCGCGTGACCCGCTTGTAGAACTTGACCTCCTCATTGAAGCCGGGGACCACCTTCACCACCCCAGCGAGCCGCTGCAAGCAGAGGGTGGGAGGTCATGATATCTCACTGTGGGTGGCGGGAAGGCAGTGGCTGGTGACGCGGCTGGCATGGCAAGCGCGCGCGCCTTGCATAAGTAAGTACTTGGGCACGGTCATGAAGTGCTTGCGACCGCAGTGGACGTTGGTCCAGCCCTCGGTGCCCTCGTAGTACGGGTTGGCGTACTTGGTGTCGCGTCCAGTCGTCCTGCCCTGGAAGATGATACTTGATAGCCTTCTTCTTGGAGCGGTCGAACGCTGTTGTCACCTGTCATCTCGGGTGAAGCTCGTTGTTCGAGGCGAGGAGGGGGACCTCGAAGAGCTTCCGGTTGAGCTCGTCCTAGCGATATGATGAGCCCCTACCCAGTGTCGGCGGTCGCTTTTCTTTCTTAGGGGGGGGGGAATGTTCGTCTCCTGCGAGGACGAGCTGCCTCCAGTGGGTGGCCTTCGCAATTTCTACGCGACGCTCACATCCGTCCCGCTGCTATACGTACCGCTGCACAGCTTGTGGTGTGCCACGCGGCTCGACGAGGCGCGACGGCGCGCGCCAGTGCTTCACCGCGCGCTTCTTGTGTGGCTGCTCAGCCTCACCGTTCTCTTCTGCACCAACCTCGGGCAGCACGCCACCACTGGAGAGCTGTGGCCGAGGCTTCACGAGGCGGGAGGCGCTGTGCAGGGGCTGTGGAATGCTTGCCAGCTCAATGCACTGCGGCGGCACCTGTCCTATCCCTCTGTCGACGAACGCCTCGGCGTTGCGGCCGCCGCGCTCGCCAGCGCGGTCGTCGTCTGCGCCCCGCTGCTGCGGCCGCATTTGCACGACCCTATCTGCGGCGCCGTCACCGCGCTCACGGTGCCATTCATCGTGGGCACGATGGGCGTCCTTTCGCGGCGAGCTGCCTCCGGTGGCGACGATCGCGCCTGGTGGCTCTTCAAGCGCTCCTGCATTGGGCTGGTGCTGGTCGGTGCGCTGACAGGCCCGCACGGGCTCGAGAGGCGCATGTGCGGCTTCGCCGTGCTTCGGGTCGCTTACCATGCCCTCATAGACCACGCGTGCATCTGGTGCCTGTTCGGCGGTGTCGGCCAGAACGCGGTGCATCTGGTAGACCTCGCCGTGCGGCCGAAGCAGCGTGCACGATGTGAGTGAGTTCCTATGTGTGTCAATGTTATATCGCGCGCCTTGTCGTGGGGGGGGGCTCGCCCAGTAGGGCGGTGCACCTTATCATTATCGAGAGTGCGCCCCTCTCGCGTACGAACGAAGAGAGTCAACTGTCAAGAGACTAGAGAGACTAGAGAGGTCCAGGAGAGGTCGAGAGGAGAAACAGCGGTCGCAGATGGCACACTCCCCGCCGTGACCCTCCGTGATCCGTGTGTGTGCTGAAGAGTGAAGTGCTGTGGGTATGGGGTCCGGAACGCGAACGACGATACAAAACCAAACGTGCGCGTAATGTGGCAATGTGGGAGCGATTCTAAGATCAGGTCTCGCACCTCCCCACTGGAAACGAACATCTGAGTTTCAAATCTCGAATAAATCTCGAAACACACTTGAGTGCTCACTTGGCAGGTAACATATGCGCCACGCGCCCCAACCGCTCCTCTGGTCGCCGCCGGCCTCCGCGGCGGCGGCGATGTCCCAGCGCCACCCATCGGCCAGCCCTCAGATCGATCGATCGGCGCTCAAAGTCGGCTTCAGATCCGAGAACGCTGCTGGCGCCGCCGCCGATCCCAGCGGCGACGCCAGCAGCTTCCTCTGCTCTCCAATGCGCCGAGAAGCGACGCGGGGGTGCTCGGCCCGCCATGGACGACGAAGGATCCGCCGGGCGCGCGTCGGACGGTCCGGTGGCACCCTCTGCGCGCGGCACCTGCCGGCGCCCCGACGACAGCCGTCGCGCCACCGCTGATGGAGGGGCGGTCGGCGCCGCTGCCGCCGCGCCGCCGGTGGGAGGGGCACTGGTGGTGGCCTGGGCGGCCCTCCGCCGCCGCTCGGGGCGCCCGGGCAGCGGTGGCAGCCTGCGCCCGCGTGCTTCGAGCTGCCCGCTCGGTGCTTCGAAATGCCCGCTCCGGCGGCCCGCATCGGCGCTATTCTTTTTTCTACTAAGCAAAATTCGAGCCAATTGAGGAAACTCAAGCGGGCAGGCTGGAAGCACTGAGGGACGGCCGATGTTCGCCCAGTGGGAGACCTGATTTTAGAATCGCTCGTGGCCTCCGGAGTGCCTTGCCGTTCTTAACGGAGTCGCTTAGCCGGTGTGTCGCCCCCCTCCTCTGCGTTAATGAAATTGGAAATAAGCGAGGTCAAACTTTGGACCCCCCTCCGGGGTGGCTTGCCCGTTGGGATCGGCCGCACCGCCACCGGAGGCAACCCCGGCTCCGTTGGAGACAAGCTCGCCTTCGGCAACACCGAAGAGCGCGCCCGCCTTGCAAACATGGGCTGCAAGCAACGCGGGTTCTGTGGTCAACGGGCGGTCGACCACACCACCGGCCAAGGCTACGTCAAGTCACAGCGTGGCCACTACCATGATGGGATCTTCACCAAACGAAACAAGTTCAACCTGCTTCTCCACGAGACATTCGGCGGCGGCTTCTCGCCGCCTGCAGTTGCAAAGATCAACCGCCTTGCGCGCAAGGCTTAACGCTCGGGCGTTGACCGCACCGCGTACCCTCCCCACTCCCGCCTCTCATTTGTGTCACACCACGCGGAACGCATCTCCAATCTCGCTTCGGTGAAGGGGGTGAACCGCGCCATCCTCGATCGCCGTGCAAAGCTCGCTTCCGAGCTCTCACGCCGCGCGTAGGGCCCTTAGAGGCCTAGAGAACACGTACCCCCTCTCCCTTTTCTCCCAGGAAGCTAAAAGTACAAAAATCCTGCGGGCCGACCTAATTATAAAACGCTAAAGTAACGGAAAAAGGATAATAAAGAGCAGATTTGGCGGGAGCAGAAAGCAGGCACCTGCACAAGGGCCGAGCAGAGTCGCCGTGTTTCTTCTTTGCAGCCAAGACAAGTGCCGCCCGTTTGGATTGCCTTGGAGCACTTGGAGTCGCCGTATTTTCTTTTTTCTTGAATCCATTGCGGAGGGTGGAGGAGCGCTCGGAGCACTTGAATCCATTGCGGCGGCCGAATCCATCGCCGCGCGGGTTATTTTTCTTCAGAAGACATGTCGATGCCGTCGAGCGAGTCTCGCCTACTTCACTACTTCAACGGCGTCAGGCACATGACGGCCGTGGTAGAGCACCACCTAACAGGTCTGCTGCGTGTCGCCTTCACTGAGGGAGCCACCTTCGACCTCCGCCGGCAGCGAGCGCTTCGCGACGGCTGGGCAGAGCGCCATCGCAACTCCGCAGCGGCAGCAGCAGACAGCGGGCCAAAGACGTGGGCGGAGCTGACCAGTGGGCTCCCAGAGACGACGCCCGGATACGCCGCGCACGAGCGCCACTACCGCTCCTTCCTCGGCGCCGTGTCGGCAGCGCTCGGCGGCGAGGCTCCGCCAGATGAGCTCGCCGCCGCCACGGCGGCTGCCTTCCGGTCGCTGCAGGCCTGCGCTCGCACGGCGCCCGAGCCGGTGGGCGGTGCTCCGACGCCGGCGCAGTCGCGCGCGCGCCTGCAGCGCGCGCGCGCCTGGCTGAGTGGCCGAGGAAAGGGCGGCGGCAGCGACGGGAGCGACGCCTCTCGCAGGGCAGCGAGCGCTTTTGGGCCGGACGGGCCGCCCGACGAGCAGCTTCGAAGGACGATCAGCCGCGCACGCGAGTCTGAGTCGAGTCGCTGGGCCTCTCATCCGTGGATTTACGCAAATAGGATGATCGCTGCGCACGCGCCGCTTGACTCGTGGCTTCGAGCCCACAAGCCTAGGCAGGGCGGAGGCGGAGGAGCCGGCGGCGGAGGAGCCGGAGGCAGCGGAGGCGGAGGCAGCGGTGGCCGCCTGCCAGCCGCCGAGGCGGGAGGGTTCGGCAGCGAGCTCGAGATCTCGGAGCTCTCTGAGATGGCGGGGATGATGGCGATCGAGAGGCTGCCGGGTCGGGCGGGGCAGGGCGGCGGAGGAGTCGGGGCGTGGGGCGGGTGGGGCGAAGAGCTGGAGAGGCTCATTGAGGGGCCCGCGGAGGAGGAGGAGGAGGAGGAGGAGGAGGAGGAGGAGGAGGAGGAGGAGGAGGAGGAGGCTAGCGGGGCGGGCCTCACTGCTGCAGGAGGGAAGCCTCCTCCTTCTGCCGCGGCCACCCGCCCTGCCGTTGGGGCCGACGGCGGTGGCGGTGCTAGCGGCGGCGGAACGAGCGGCGAGGGGCAGTACGACTTGGCGCAGCTGAGGCGGGCCTGTCTCGCGCACGTGGGCGGCAGCGGCGGCGGCGAGGTGGAGGCGGCGTTGCTGTGCGCGCAGCTGCTGACGCTGCTCCATGGCGGCCTGTCCGACGGCCGGCTGCAGGAGGAGATGCTTTCGCAGCTCGGCTTTGGCGCCATCGAGCTGGTGGCAGAGGTGCTGCCACGCCGGCGCGAGCTCGAGGAGGACCTCTCTCTCGTCCTCGCGATCGGCAGCTCGCGCAGCCGCGCCGCAGCCGCGGCGGCGGGCGGAGGGTCGGCGGGCGGCGGCGCGGCCCTCGGCGCGGGCGACGGTCGGCCGCACGGCTGCGCGGTGACGCTCTCGTCCCAGTCGGAGAAGGCGGCGGAGAAGGCGAAGCGCAAGGAGGAGAAGCGGCTCGCGCGCGAGGCGCATCGCGCGGAGGAGTCGCTCAGCGGCGAGCAGCTCCGGCGGGTGGAGGAGACGCTCGGCTGGCTGGCGCAGGCTGGCTTCGAGCCCGCGGCGGCGCTGCTGTCGCCCGCCGGAGAGGAGGCGCCGCGGAAGCCGTCGGCGATGGAGCAGCTCTCAGAGATGCGGTCTGGCTCGGCGAAGGGGCTGGTCGGCTCGCTGCCGGCGGGGACGACGCACGACCTGCACGACGGCTACGTTGAGGTATGCGTCCCGCCCACAAAGTCAAAGGCGCGCGGCGAGGGCGGCGCCGGGCTGTGAAATCGGAGGGGTGCGGGTGAGTTTGAAAAGAAGCTGACGGAATAGGCGCGCGACGAGGGCGCGCGCGTGCCGATCTCGTCGCTGCCGCAGTTTGCGCAGCTCGCCTTTGGAGGCGTGCAGTCACTCAACCAGCTGCAGTCAGCCGTGGTCGAGACGGCGCTACACTCGAACGAGAACATGCTCGTGTGCGCGCCGACCGGCGCCGGCAAGACGAACGTCGCGCTGCTCGCGATCCTGCAGCAGGTCGGCGGCCGCATCTCGGGCAGTCTCGGGCAGTCTCGGGCAATCTCGGGTGGGATCGGGTGATCTCGGGTCATCTCGAGCAGGTCGGAGGCTGCATCGAGAGCGGCGTGCTGCAGCGCGAGCGGGTCAAGATCGTGTACGTGGCGCCGATGAAGGCGCTCGCGGCTGAGCTCGTCTCCAAGTTTGGCAAGGCGCTCGGCCCGCTCGGCCTGTCGGTGCGCGAGTACACGGGCGACATGCAGCTGACGAAGCGCGAGCTGCAGGCGACGCAGCTCATCGTCACGACGCCCGAGAAGTGGGACGTCACCACCCGCAAGGGCTCGGACGGGATCGTCCAGTCGGTCGGCTTGCTCGTCATCGACGAGGTGCACTTGCTCAACGAGGACCGCGGCCCCGTCATCGAGGTCTGCTGCAGTGGTGCGAGTAGCGGCTCGCCACCCCATGCCCACTACTCACCGCCGCGGCCCCGCCACCGAGGCGCTGGTCGCGCGCACGCTGCGGCTCGTCGAGTCGTCGCAGCAGATGATCCGCATCGTCGGCTTGTCGGCCACGCTCCCAAACTACGTCGACGTGGCCCTCTTCCTGCGCGTCAACCCGCAGACCGGCCTGCACCGCTCCGGACCAGAGTGCGTCGGCCCGCCCCGTCTCCACGCCTCTCCCTGCGAGCAGGCCTCTACCACTTTGGCGCCGAGTACCGCCCCGTCCCGCTCAAGCAAACCTTCCTCGGCGTGACGAAGCGGCTCGAGAAGCCGCGCGAGGGCGCCAAGCCCAAGGAGGGGCGGCCTGCCAAGGCGGTGTCGCAGCAGACGCAGATGCTCGAGCTCGCATTCGACAAGGCGCTCGCCGCCCTGCGGCGCGGCAAGCAGGTGATGGTCTTCGTGCACGCGCGCAACGAGACGCTGCGCACCGCGCGCGGGCTGCTCGAGCTCGCAAAGGCGCGGCAGGCCGAGGAGCTGTTTGCGCCAAAGCCGGACCACCCTCGCTACGCGCTCGCGCAGCGCGAGGTTGCGCGCTGCCGCAACGGCGAGCTGCGCACGCTCTGCAACGGCGGGCTCGGGGGTGGGCCGGGCGGGGAGGAGCCGAGGGGAGCCGAGGGGAGCCGAGGTGAGCCGAGATGTAGGTGGGCTCGGGGTGCACCACGCGGGGATGCTGCGGCCCGAGCGGTCGATGATGGAGCGGCTCTTCGCCGACGGGATGATCAACGTGCTCTGCTCGACGGCGACGCTCGCGTGGGGCGTCAACCTGCCCGCCCACACCGTCATCATCAAGGGGACGCAGGTGTACGACGCGCAAAAGGGCGCCTTCGTCGACGTGGGCGTGCTCGACGTGCAGCAGATCTTTGGGCGGGCGGGCCGGCCTCAGTACGACACCAACGGCGGCGAGGGCATCATCATCACGACGCACGCCAAGCTGCAGTTCTACCTCTCGATGCTCGTCACCCAGGCTCCGACCGCGCCGGTGCTCCCGTCTTCCCACCAGTCTTCTTTAGGCTGCTGTGCTTCTTCTCCAGGCTCCGATCGAGTCGAAGCTCGTCTCGGCGCTGTGCGACCACCTCTGCGCCGAGGTGCGTCAAACGAGTCATGAAGAACTGTGGCCCATTCACTCACACCGGACACCTCCGCGCCGAGGTGTCGCTCGGCACCGTCTCCTCGCTCAAGGAGGCGGTGGTGTGGCTCTCGTACACGTACCTGTACGTGCGCATGTGCCGCAACCCGCTCGCGTACGGCATCCCCTTCGAGCAGTCGACGCACGACCCTCGGCTCCTCGCTTGGCGCACCGAGCTGGTGCAGGTGGTGGCGCGAGGACTAGCCAACGGGGCCGTCAGTCCTTCGCATCTGATACACCGCGGAGCTGTCGCAGGCGATGGCGCGTCGCCTCGACGAGGCGAAAATGGTGCGGTACCACGCGCCGTCCGGCTCGATCGACCCCACCGAGCTCGGCCGCACCGCGTCGCACTTTTACCTCTCCGTGGAGACGATCGAGGCCCTCTCGGCTTCTGCGGCACGCGCCTCCGTTGAGTGGCGCCTCTTCACACGCACGCGCCTGCGAGCAGGCCTTCTCCGGTCTGTGGCACGAGCGCGCCTCCGAGGCGGACATCCTCTACACGCTCTGCTCCGCGTCCGAGTTCTCCCAGATGAAGGTGCGGGAGGAGGAGATGGAGGAGATGGAGGAGCTGCTGCAGGCGTGCCCCCTCACCGTCAAGGCGTCGCTCGCCGAGAAGGAGGGCAAGGCCTCCGTCCTCACGCAAGCCTACATCTCGGGCACCGCGCTCAAGTCGGCCGCCCTCGTCTCGGACTGCTCCTTCATCGCCCAGTCGGCCTCCCGCATCGCGCGCGGCCTCTTCGCCATCGCGCTCTCAAAGTCGTGGATCTCGTACGCGCAAAAGGTGCTCAAGCTCTCGAAGATGCTCGAGCGGCGCACGTGGTGGTCGCGCTGCCCGCTGCGCCAGATCGGTGGCGTGCCCGCCGAGATCTACGACAAGCTCGAGGCGAAGCGGTACACGAGCGCCGCGCGCATGGAGGCGCTCAAGGAGATGGGCGTGCGCGAGATCGGGCAGCTCGTCTCGCACCAGCGGCTCGCGGCGCAGCTCAAGGCCGAGGCGAGCGCGCTGCCCGCCCTCTCCATCGACGTGTCGGCGCAGCCGATCACGCGCACGGTGCTACGCGTCGTGCTCACGCTGACGGCCGCCTTCGAGTGGCGCGACCGGCTGCACGGCGGCGCAGAGTCGTGGTGGATCTGGGTGGAGGACTCGGACACGGAGCACATCTACCACAAGGAGCTGTGGACCCTGACCAAGCAGCAGGCGCTCGAGCCGCAGGAGCTCAGCTTCACCACGCCGCTCTTCGAGCCCCTCCCGCCCGCGTACTACATCCGCGCCTTCTCCGACCGCTGGCTCGGCGTCGAGACGGTGGCGCCGCTCCCGCTCGCGGACCTCTCGCTGCCGTCGGCGCGGCCGGCCCACACCGACCTGCTCGCGCTGCGACCGCTGCCAAAGAGCGCTCTGGCCGACGCTCGCTTCGAGGCGCTCTTCCGCTTCTCGCACTTCAACCCGGTGCAGTCGCAGATCTTCCACACGGTCATGCACACCGACGACAACGTCCTCGTCGGAGCGCCGACCGGCTCGGGCAAGACGGTCGCCGCCGATCCGGCGCCGCGGCCGTGCAAACAGCGCCTCGTCACAGCTGCAGCCGTGAACAGGTCGCCGCCGAGCTGGCCGTGCTGCGGCTGCTGCGCGAGTACCCCGGCTGCAAGGCGGTGTACATCGCGCCGCTCAAGGCGCTGGTGCGCGAGCGGATGGCCGACTGGAGGGCCAAGTTCGTGCAGGGGCTCGGCCTCAAGATGCTCGAGCTGACGGGCGACGTGACGCCCGACGCGCGCGCGCTCGCGACGGCGCACGCACTCGCGACGAGGGAGTGGGGCGAGGGCGCCGCTTCACAGCTGCGGGCGTGAAGACAGGCGCACATCCTCGCCACGACGCCCGAGAAGTGGGACGGCGTCTCTCGCCACTGGCAGCAGCGCAACTACGTGCAGAAGGTGACGCTGGTCATCATCGACGAGATCCACTTGCTCGGCGAGGAGCGCGGGCCCATCCTCGAGGTGATCGTCTCGCGCATGCGATACATGGCGGAGCGGATGTCGCAGCCGGTGCGCATCGTCGGACTCTCGACCGCCATGGCCAACGCGAGCGACCTCGCCGACTGGCTCGGCATCCCGCACGACTCGATCTTCAACTTCAAGCCGTCGGTGCGGCCGGTGCCACTCGAGGTGCACATCGCGGGCTTCCCGGGGCAGCACTACTGCCCGCGCATGGCGGCGATGAACAAGCCGACCTACCGCGCCATCACCGTCCACTCGCCCGACCAGCCGACCCTCGTCTTCGTCTCGAGCCGCCGCCAGACGCGGCTGACGGCGCTCGACCCGATACTCCGCCCGCCCGCCCGCTTGGCCCCCTCTCGGACCCTTCTCGAGCCTCCCTGTAGGCGCTCGACCTGATCGCCTACTGCTCGGCGGACGAGAAGGAGGGCCAGTTCCTCAACATGCCGATGGGTGAGCTCGAGCCGCTGCTCGCCGCGGTCAAGGACCCGGCGCTGCGGCACACGCTCGCCTTTGGGATCGGCATCCACCACGCCGGCCTCGACGAGGCGGGCCGCGCCCTCGTCGCGCTCCTCTCGGGCCATCTCGGCCGAAGGTTGGGCGCCTCTCGCAGGCGGACCGCGTCCTCGTCGAGAAGCTCTTCCTCGGCCAGTCGATCCTCGTCCTCGTCTGCACCTCGACCCTCGCGTGGGGCGTCAACTTCCCCGCCCACCTCGTCGTCGTCAAGGGGACCGAGTACTACGACGGCAAGGCGAAGCGGTACGTCGACTTCCCGGTGACGGACGTGCTCCAGATGATGGGGCGCGCCGGCCGGCCGCAGTTCGACACAAAGGCGGCGGCCGCCGCCCTCCCCGAGCCGTGAACGGCGCTTCTTCACGCCCCCAGGCTGTGAACAGGCGGTCGCCGTCATCCTCGTGCACGAGCCAAAGAAGACCTTCTACAAGAAGTTCCTGTACGAGCCCTTCCCCGTCGAGTCGTGCCTCCACGAGCAGCTCCACGATCACATCAACGCCGAGGTGGTCGCGGGCACCATCCGCTCCAAGCAGGAGCGCGCTCTCTCGTGTCGACCCACGCGGAAGAACGGCGTCTCTTCACGCCTCTGGCCGTGAACAGGACGCGGTCGACTTCCTCTCGTGGACCTACTTTTACCGCCGGCTGCTGCAGAACCCCGCCTACTACCATTGCGCCGACGCGACGCCAGAGGGGACCAACGGCCACCTCTCCCTCCTCGTCGAGGCGACCACCGCGGACCTGGCCTGCGCCGGCTGCGTCGAGGTTGGCGAGGACGGCGTCTCGCTCGCCCCGAGCACGCTCGGCAGGGTCGCGTCTTACTACTACCTCTCCTACACGACGGTCGCCCTCTTCCACGCCGAGCTGCACGACGTCGACGAAGGGCCGACCGCGCTGTCCGACCTGCTGCGCGTGCTCTGCGACGCGTCCGAGTGCGCCGAGCTGCCCGTGCGGCGGGGCGAGGAGTGGGCCGCGTCTCTTCACAGCTCTCGCCGCAACCAGGTACGATGAGCTCCCCGTGCGGCACAACGAGGAGGTCGTCAACGAGCAGCTCGCCGACAAGCTGCCGTGGCCGGTCGAGCGGTCGCGGTTCGACTCGCCGCACGTCAAGGCGAACCTGCTGCTGCAGGCGCACTTTGCGCGCGCGCCGCTGCCGATGTCGGACTACGTGACCGACCTCAAGTCGGTGCTCGACCAGGCGCTGCGCATCCTGCAGGCCGCGGCAGAGTGCGGCGGGCAAGATTACCCGAGATCACCACCCCGAGACCAGCCGAGGTTGCCCTGCAGGCCATGGTGGACATCGCGGCCGACGCCGGCTGGCTGCACACGGCGCTCGGCGCGATGAGCCTCACGCAGATGGTGAGCCAGGGCCGCTTCCTCGACGCGCCTCCGCTCTCCGACCTCCCGGGGATGAGCGCGGCGGCCGAGGAGGCGCTTGCCGCCCGCGGCCTCACCCACCTCGCGCAGCTCGTCCGGCTCGACGCGCAGGCGCTGAAGCGCGCGCTCGGCGGCACCCTGGGCGCGCGGCAGCTCAGCGAGCTCAGCGGCCTCCTCGCGACGCTGCCCGCGACCGAGCTCGAGGCGGCGCCGCCGCCCCTCGCCGTCGAGGCGGGCGCCGACTGCGCCATCTCTGTGACCGTCTCGACGGGCGGAAGGCGCGCCCGTCGCTCCGCCTTCGCGCCCGCCTTCCCAAAGGCGCGCGGCGGCGGCTGGTGGCTGGTGATGGGCGAGGGGGACGAGCTCTTTGCGCTCAAGCGCATCAACCTGCCATCCGGCAGCGGAAGCGGGCCGCTCAAGACGGAGCTGATGATGTGCGCGCCGGAGGAGCCCGGCGTGCACGAGTGCGCCGTGCTGCTCGTCTCGGACTCATACATCGGGCTCGACCAGCAGGTGACGGTCAGAGTGGAGGTGAGGTAACACGCTGACACGGGGGTTGAGAGGCCGAGAGAGGCCGCTCGAGAGCCGTGGAGGTTTATCTCGAGGTGGCGATGGAAGGTGGGTGGTTTGCTTGCCCTGTGGTACGTGCGAACGAGAACGTGTAAGATGCGACGCGACACCAAAAGAAATAGTCGACCCTAATGCCAGAGGCACAGCAGAAATCCCCGTGGCCGCTGTCTGTGCCTGCTTCCGAGTATGACTCCGAGCCCGCGACTTTTCCGACGCTGAGGCGCAGGATTCGGGCGGCAGGGATCCTACACGACGCAGTTCAGCAGGCTGTGATCGTACGGTGATGCAATGGCGGCCCTATGACAACGAGCTCTTCCGGGCGTGGAGAGGCGGACGGCGAGAGGACTTGCCGGAGGAGGTGGTGGCTATGGCTTTGGACCTTTGCGAGAGGTGGCGAGCGGAGCAAGAGCGGTAGTGTGCGCGCATCCACGCTGCGCAGCGGCTCTCCCGCGACCCCGGCCCCTCTCGTAGCCGCAGCCGCAGCCGCAGCCCCAACTCTTGCCGCTCTTCTGTGTGGGGTTGTGACGAGGGGTGAGGGGACGGATTGAAGATCCCTCCACACCAAGATCGTGCAGGGCGGGGACACATGTCCCTAAATCCCATCTCGAGTCAGAGTTTCCGTTTAATTTATTTATTTAGCCAGCTGCTGAGCGATACATCTGCCAGCGATCAAACGCGGCGGCGCTACTCGAGTAGTTGTGACACGTATCGATGGCATGGGGCGCGCGCTTGGCCAGCAAGATCCGTCGATCCCGTCGGTCAGCGATGCGCTGCGCAGCTTTCACGTGATGGCGGTGGAGTATCATGCCTCGGTGCCGGCCGAGGGAAGTGGCGCAATGGCAGATCCGCTGCCCATGGCTGCGGTCGTTCATCACCGGGAATCCCTGATGGGCTGTCACTCTTTTGAGCAATTTCTCTCACCGCGCTGGGAGACTCTTCTTGTTTTCGAGGACACATTCGCTCACACCTGGCGGCTCGACAGGCGAATTCGTTCCACGCCCACACGAGGCGCACACCTCCTAAAGCTCAATGTGAGTGCGGGTGAGTGGCTCGCACGTGCAATCGCCCTGCGACGCATGGACGAGCTGAACCGTCGCCCGCCGCTTCTCCTTTCCAGCCAGTGTGATATGCAGCCACTCCCCCCGTGGCACGTGCTCCACACCCCATGCAGTCCTTGTTGAGAGGCTCACCGTCGCCTTCCTCGCCGAAGCACGGGCACGCGCTATCGGCACGACAGCCGCTGTCCCTCTCTCAGACACAGATTTGAGGCTAGCGGATCGCTCGGCAACCGCCCACAGCAGAAGGTGCGCCGCCGTCTTCAAGCGCAATGATCGGTCGTTATTCGTGATGAACACGCCGATCTTCGAGACCATCCCGCATGCAACAACCCTCGAAGGCGCCCGCTTCCACAGTGTGGATGTCGGGCAGTGGCAAAGGCACTCAGTGGGCGGTGCACGGCCGCGGGGCCCTATGACGGGCACAACCGGCGCGTGGCTCTCTGATGTGTCCACTTGGGTGGAGGATCACGCCGTCCTGTACAACACCACGCTGCTGAGCGACGTCGTTGACGTCTGGCAACGTGCTGGCGCGACGCTTTCTGCGGGCGTCAAGCTCATCCCGAGCCATATGTGCACCGCAGGCCTATCGGCTGTCCGTCATAACGACATCCACCTCTTTTATGATCGCGCGTGGCCCTCTCTCACCGCTGATGGCGGCGTTGGCGGAGGGAGCATTCCACTCACCAACATGAGTCACTACGCCGCTGCGGACGTTGATAGGCTGCGATGGTACAATCTGAGGCTTCTGTCGGATTTTGCCTCGCCTCTCGGCTGCTTCCGTGAGTTCATGGCCATACGCAAGCATACCGGCCACAGGGTGCAGATTGCTTGCCTCATTCCCCAGAGGCACCTGCATCCCTCACACCTGCCGTCCGCACGGTTCCCCGACGAGGCGCGTAAGCTACTCAGCATGCTTCTCAAGCTGCTCGGTTTCGGGCCTGTCGCCTCCACAGCGACAGCAATTTTTTTCTGGCGATTGCCACTCTGGCACGCCTACAATGCCGCGTGGTCACAACCGCGGGGTGTAGAGCTACAAAATCAGAAGCGAATCGGCCGACTGGTGGCCCTGCAGGATCTGTCGACGGATGATCCGGCTCTGGAGCTCCGAGTCACCGAGTTGCAACAAGCCCAAGGATCACGCTTCTGCCGCGCGCCGCTCATTAGAGGCGGACCAAGAAAACTCCTGCAGTGGTCATCCACGCCCGTTCCTGCCGATTCCCGGCAAGACACGCCGCCCACCGACACCCATACAATACCTTTTCCACCGCCTCAGGAGGTGCTGCGCCTGAACACGTCCACATGGCCACGCGGCATGACGTATCCCGCAATCGGGTGGGCAGTGAAGGAGCTGACGGTGAAACAGGCCACTCAGCTCAGCGAGACCATCTGCAAGTCGCTTGTGTGGCTGCGCAGCACAAGTGCGCGATCTGATCGATGGTATCAGCTGCCGCATGATGGGCCACGCCTCAAGGTTGCCAGCTTGTGGCATCGCGTGTTCAGCTCCCTTGAGCAACTCTGCTGAGGAGGCGATCACGGGCACGCGCGGGCTCCAAGCTAGCTAGGGGGTGCGCGCTCGTGGCGTCGCTGACGGTGCGTGGTGTGTGGGCCTCTCCTCGTCCTTTTCGCGGACATTGACACGTACGTACTCCGCCCGCCCGTCCCCACGTACTGTTTTGCGTGTGCCCACACACATATGCTCCTCTCCCTCCCGCTCCTCGCCACCGCATGGTCTCAGCCCAGGAGCTGCCACGCACGGCTTCCCCTCACTTGCGAGGCGCTGCATTGGCCGCGCGCAGCCAGCGATCGACCACCCGTCAAGATTGTGGACGCCTTTGCCTTCAACGGCGAGTGGGACATGCTTGAGCTCCGCCGCAGGGAGCTCGCAGCATACATCAACGCGACCGCCATCGTCACCTCGGGTGTCAATTTTCACGGCCAGCCCCGCCCCGAACCTCACGTGACGGTGGACAGCGTCGCGGGCAAGCTGACGCGGCTCAGCCTCCCGCCTTCCGCTTTTAGCGTGTGCAGTGCTAGACTGGGTTCACCACGCAACCGGGCGGAGTGCCGGCTCGCGGTGTCGAAGAACTCGGTCGCCCTCGCCGTCGACCGGGTGGCGGACATCCAAGCGAGCGACTGGGTCCTCTTCTCGGACCCGGACGAGCTGCCGCTGCCAGCCGTCCTGAGGCTGCTGCACACGTGTGAGCCGCCGGTTGCGGTGACTACTAGGCGGGGCGCAAAAGTGGCCGATGCCCCAGCGACAGTGGTCATCAAGCTGACAGCCATCGCTCACTATCTCTACCACGTGGGCTGCGTCGCCAACACTAGCCTCTGGTATGGAGCGCGCGGCCCGTTTCTCGTGCGGGTGGGGACGATGCGGAGGTATGGCCTGCGCGCCTTCCAGTTCGAGCCGAAAAAGTACCGCGGCTGGGGCGTCTACAACGGCTTTGGGCCGTACGCCTCTGCTTACGACTACCAGCGCACACAGCTCTTGATCCCGTGCGCCGCGTGGCACATGAGCTCCTTTGGGGGCGCGCCGCTGGTGGCGAAAAAGGTGCGTGACAACAAGGACCGCGCCCACGAGCCGTCGAGCAGCGACGTCCGCCACTGCCGAGAGGCAGGGAACCGCGACCGCCAGGGCCTCGTCGTGACACCGCGCCGCCCGGCACGCGCCTACCCCGACGTGCCTGCCTCTGCGCATAGCGACCCGCGCCGCTTTGCGGTCTTTTTCGAAGCCCCTTCCTTCAAAAGGAGGAGACAGCTTTCTGCGAGACGAGACGAGTATGGAGAGACGGAAAAGAGGGCTTTTGATCGTTCTTGAGAGTGCATCTCTTAAGACTAGAGTATATGAGAGAGCCAGGATTCCGCACACAGATCGGCGGAGATATCTCCACAGACGGGGCGGGCGCGGCGCGTCGGGGGCGAGAGCCGCCCGCGCCCCGGCCGGGCGGTGCAACGTGGTGCACATGGCACGTCATGTGGGGCCGGGCGGGGTCTCTCTTGTGTCTTGAGGGTTGGGTCGCCGGTTCACCGCGTTCTCCCCCTCTCCCCGCATTTATGTACCGCGCACGTCCGCCATGTGATGTTAAGGAATTGAAAAATTGTGTGGGTTGTTGTTTGGCGCCAAAGAACCATCGACCATCTCACTCATCACTCAGCAGCGTCTCCGCCCTCGAGCGCCGCCCCCAGCCTGCCAGCAATGGCGCGGGCCCAGGCGACGTCCTCCGCGCCAAAGGCGCGCTTTCGGTCGGCTCCGAGGACGACAACGCCGCTCCTGCCGCCGAGCGGCACCATCAGCAGCGCCTGGGTGGCCTCGGGGAAGTAGGAGAACTCGACGCGGCCGGGCAGCAGCTGCAGGGCAGGGAGGTACTCTGGCGCCCCCGTCGCACTCCCCGCGCACTTTTGCAGCAGCGGGCCTGGCACGACGGCGGCCGCGGGCGACGCAGCGGCGCGAGGCGTGAGCAGTCCGCAGGCCGCGAGGGTGCCACCGCCCGCGCGCCAGATGGCCACCGATGAGGCGCCGAGCCCCGCCCCCAGCGCGTCGGTCGCCCACGCCAGCTCGCGCCTGGAGGGGGCAGTGGTGGAGCAGCAGCGGTACAGATGGGGTGGTGGCGACGGGCAGTGCAGCTATCCGGCGAGCGTGGGGTGGGCGTGGCAGCGGACGCTTCTCGAAGTGTGTCACCTCGCGTCGCCGCTCACCACCGGGTCGAGCCAGTCGACGGCGACGCCGCCGGCGAGCGAGACGGGCTCAGGCTCCGCGGGCGTGATTGCGAGGTTGGACAGCCCGTCGAGCATCAACAGCACCGGCCCCACCGTCGCGATCAGGTCGGCGCGCGACTGGGAATTGAGCAGCTCTTCGGTCGCCAGCCGGTTCACCACCAGCGCGAGGAGCAGCGAGCCGCCAGCGACGAGGCTCACCTCGGGAGAGCGGAGCCGCCGCAGCAGGCCCGAGGCGTGAGGGCTGCCGCAGCGAGGCGTGAGGGCGACGCCGCACGGGCGAGCGATGGGCGGCGGCGGCGTGAGAGCGAAGCCGAAGCCGACGAGGAGCGCAGACATCGGAGGGCGGACCAGAAGAAGAGAAAACCGAGGACCACGGCGCCACATAGGTTTAAATGCACACCTGCGTGAAGCAGATCTGTGTATCGCTGTCCGTAAAACGGGAACAGTGCCCCCTGCGGGCTGCGGGTAGAGTTACCGTGAGCAAGGCGCTCCTCTTCGAACATAGCCAGCTACATCGAGCGAGCAGGCGCCAAGCCGGAGGGGAGAGCATCGCATTTTTTTTATTTTAGAAAGGACGCGATCGCGCGCCAGCGTGGCCTTGGACTTGATCGGCGGGCAAATGGACGAAGAGCGAGAGCTCGACGGCGTAGGCAAACTCACTGAGCGAGGTCTCGACCCCTCGACGGCTGAGCGAACAGCGAGAGCTCTCGGCGGCAGGCGGACGATGCGGCGCCTCGTCCACGGTCTGGCCATCCTCCTCCTCCAGCTCGCGATCATGATACCAATCTTAATACCATCCAACATGATCACATTTACGCCGTTCGTCTTCCTTGGCATCATCGGCGTCGACACTATCGGCCCCTGCGACGGCCTCCGGTGGCGCCGGCTCCCCGTCGTGCTCCCGATCGCGCTCCTCTTTGACCTTCCGCTGGCTTCATGGATCTCGGCGATGTGCATTCTAGAGTGCTGCATCCTGCATCCGCTCGCTCGCACTGCCTACTCGCTTCTCGCTCGCCGTCCTTCCTCAGCCAAGCTCGAGGCGCCCAATCCAAGCGCTTCGGATCTCGAGGACAGCCACCCTCTCTCGTCGCAATCGCGCCGCGCGTCCTCGAGCAGCGAAGGCTCTCGCTACCGCGAGCACGCGTCCATCTGGTCCGCGCTCGAGGGCGGCGACGGCAGCGAGGTCCGATGTGGCGACGTGCGGCTGCTCAGTCTCGCGTGGCTGCTTGCGCTCGCCGACCGTGGCGGGGTGCTGCCGCGGCGGCAGGAGCTGCCCGAGGAGGCCTTCCTCGGGGCGGCGCGGCTCCGGCAGATTGAGGCGGCCGCCAGGCGCGCCATCGACCGCCGCGGGTTCGTGACTGCGCTCGAGGCCCTCGCCAAGGGCACCAGCATCCTCGGCTTTCTCGGCTTCTGGACCAGCGCCTTCCGCCGGAAGCGGAACGTCGACGGCCTCCTCCCGATCGTCTCCATCTCCTACTGCTGGCTCGAGGCCGCGCATCCGGATCGGGAGGGCCGCCAGCTGCAGCTGCTCTCCCGCAAGCTGCGGAGCCTGTACGGCGGGCGAGGCCTGCTCGGCGCTTGCCGCGAGTACGGCTTCTCCGACATGGTGTCTCGCCCCTCCTCCTCTCTCGCCGCTACTCACAACTCAGCCTGTACCAGAGGCACTCCCTCTCTCACGCCACTCTTGTTGCCACCGCGTTTCCCACTCCCTTACCCACCGCCATTCCCTCGCCCTCACCATCACTCCCATCTCTGCCACTCCTTCTCTCACCGCCGCTCCCTCTCCCGGCCGCGGCAGGGCGTGTTCTTCGACTGGGGCTCGGGCTACCAAAAGGACCCGGCGCTGTGGAGGGGGTGGATGGCCGACACAGCGCTGTACGCGATGAGCGACGCCGAGCTGCGGAGGGGCCTAGGGGGCGGCGACCCCGAGCGGATGGCTGCCGAGCGGATGGCTGCCGAGCGGACGGCTGCCGAGCGGCACTCGTACGAGGCGCTCGAGGAAGGCTCGCTGTACGCGCTCAGCGAGGAGTCGCTCAGCATGATGGCGGGCGGCGATCGGATGGTCGCCGAGCGGCGCGCGCACGAGGCGAGCCTTCGCCGCCACCGCCGCAGGCCGACCCCTGGACCATGTGCCCGACTGAGGATGAGTGGTCGACGCAGGCGAGCCGGACCGAGGAGGAGAAGGCCGCCTTCGGTCGCATGCTCCAGCACACCATGGACTTGTGGTACGCGCACTCTGCGATCACCGTCGTGCTGCTCACGCAGCTGCCCGACGAGCTACCCGCCGGCTTCGACCAGAGCCGGACCTACGACACTCGAGGCTGGACCACCTTCGAGCGGTGCTCCGCCGAGCTCGCCAAGAGCTACCAGCTGCAGGTCGCAAAGTGGAAGCTCGTCATCGACGTGGTGAGAGACTGACCCCTCCCGCGCCCCTCCCCTCTCCGCCACGAGCCCGTGCGCCCAGCCTTGCCCCCCGCGCTCCGCCTCTCCCTCCCCTGCAGGCCGACGAGGGGGGCTGCTCCCAGCGGCGGCTCCCCACCACTCCCGCGCGGATGGCGCAGCTGCTCGCCGGCTGCCGCTTCACCAACGGCGCCGACTCTGCGACCGTGCTCGCGCTGTACGCACAGACGGCGACGGCGGTGCTGGGCACGGTCGAGAAGCTGAGCTACCAGGGGCTGCCCCTCGTGCGCGGCGACCCGTGGTGCAGCCCGTCCCGCCTGGCCGAGGCGCTCAACTACTGCCAGCGCCTCCGCCACCTGGTGCTGAGGGGCAGCCGCCTCGGCGACGACGAGGTGGAGGAGCTGGTCGCAGGGCTCGAGGGCGGCGCGCTGCCCGCGCTGGAGGCCCTCCACCTGGGGGCGAACAGGTTCGCAGCCCGCGGCACCGGCGCGTGCTGCGCCCTCCTTCGCCGCGGCGTGGCGCCACAGCTGCAGCACCTCTCCCTCTCCTTCATGCCGACGCTTGGCGACGAGTCCGCCGCGGCGCTCGCTGCCGCGCTAGCGACGGGCTCCCTGCCGCACAAGCTCGCCGTGGACGTCTCCTTTTGTAGCTTAGCCGACGAGGGCGCAAAGGCCATCGCCGCCGCCCTCCCCCTTGCTGGCCCCTCCTGCAACATCATCTGCTGGTTCAACCAGTTCGGCCTGGCGGGCCAGTCGGCGATGCTCGCCGCACTCGACGCTAAGCACGGCCCGGCGTTTGCGCACGGGACCAAGGTCATGAGCTTATTCACTTTCCCTTTCTCGGCCGCGCTCGTTCGCGCGGCGGCGCTTGGCGGTCGCCGCGCTGCAGAGAGCGGTCGAACTCTCGCATGCTAGATAAAAAATGAAAGCGTGAAAGAAAAAGGGTCAAACTCTGACGGAGGAAAAACGGAAAAACCATGACAATCATATGACGAAAAAACAAAAACAAAAAGTGTTTGTCTCTCCGGCAGCACCAGCAGCCAGGGCTGCGGCGGGGGGGGGGGGCATGGAAGGAGAGACGCCATGCGCACCAGCTCTTAACCAGCTGTGCGCCTATTCACTCTTGAGGCGTGAAGAGGTGCTGTCCACACCCACACGCAGAGGTTGGACTCGCCGCACAGCCGCTACTCACTGCTGGAGTCATGGGTGGAGTGAGGTGGTCCGCCCGCTCTGCTCGTCGCCCCCCCCCCCCCTCTCCCTTGGGAATGCCCGGCGGCTCTTGCTCCGAATTCGACGCCGAGGCTGCCGTGTCGTCGTCGCCCCCCTCCTTCCCCTCCAAGGCGGGGGCGGGGAGGGGGCCGGGGGCGGGCCACGGCGCTGCTGGCCCCCCGGCGCTTGGCATCTGGACGCGGAACTGGAAGCGGTCGCCGGCGGACAGGCCGGCGGGGATGGCGACGCCGGCGGGGCCGGCGGTAGTCATGACCTGCATCACCTGGCCGGCGAGCACACCGTCGGGCACGACGGCCTCGAGGGCTTGCGAGGCCATGGGGGCCTCGAGGGCTTGCGAGGCCATGGGGGCGGCGGCGAGCCCGCCGTCCACCAGCCCGGGGGCCGCGAGGGTGCGCGCGAGCTCGAGCGCCCTCTGGTGGATGAGCTCGCCCGGAGAGGAGAATGAGGAGACGTGCGGGGGCAGCAGCCCGGGCGGGGCTAGCCCGGGCGGAAGGCTCTGGCTCAGGAGACGCTGGTGGCCGGGAGGGAGCGGCTGGCCGGGAGGGAGCTGCGGAGGCCACGCAGCCCCCGCCGGCCAGGAGAGCCCTGCTGGTGCGGACCACGCGTCTGGCGCCGTGCCGAGCGCGCACTGCTGCTGCGGCTGTCGCAGCTGCTCGAAGGGCCTCTGCGCCACCGGGGCGTGCAGTGTGTGCTCGTGGCGGACTGCCGCGCCGGACGCAACCGCCGCGTCTTGCGGCGGCATGGGCTGCGGCATGTCTTGCGGCGGCATGGGCTGCGGCGGCATGCCTTGAGGCGGGGGCCGCGCGGCCGGGGTCGACAAGATGTTTCCCGAATCGCACGGCCCGCTGCACGCGGCTCGGGGGTACGCGCCTGCGTTCACCACCTCGAGGGCTGCCGCGAGCTGCGCTGCCGTGTGCTGTGCCCTGCCCTGCCCGTAGAACGCCCCACCCCAGGCCTGCGCGTTCAGCGGCCAGCTCCACATAGGCGAGCCGTACATCGGCACGGGGGGCGCCCCCGCATATCCCGGGAAGAAGTGCGGCAGGGCCGGCCAGGGCGGGGCCGGCGTTCCCGGCAAACCCGGCACGCCGGGCGGTGGCTGAGTCGCGGTCACCGCGATGGCCGGCGCCGCCGCGGGCGGGATTCGGCCTGCGTGAGGTGCGTGGTCTCGCGCAACCTTGAGCCAGACCGTCCCCGTCGGCGTGAGGGTCCTGCAGCGGGAGGAGCACGTGCGTGAGGCTGTGGCAGGGGAGTGTGCCGTCCTCCGCGTCCAGGACGCGTCCAGGACGCACCTGCCGACGCGAAAGGTCATCGTTGCGCCGAGCTTCGCCTGCTCGACGAGGTCGGAGAGCGGGACGAGGCCCGGAAGCCTCTCGTCCGACACTTCGCGCAGAATCGCGAGCTTTGGGCCTTGGCACTCCGAGGTCTGGTTGATGATGCGGTGCGGCGGCCACGGCATCGCCTTGAAGTTGGTCGGCAGCGTGCTGAATATGACCAGGGAAATCTGGTCCTGTTTCGCGTTGTTCCACACGCCGGCCGAGCGCGCGTTGGGGGTGTCGACATCGCCCTCGACGACGTAGATGCGCGACGTGGAGACCGCGACGCCCTGCCGCCTGCACCGGTTGCAGAAGTGCTCTCGAAAGGCACCGGCCACATCCTGCGCGATCCACTCGTGCTCGGTCTCACAGGCGCTTGCCCCGCGCTCCAGCTCTCTGCCCCAGCAGACGTGCGCGACTTTTCTGCGCTTCTGGGGGTGGGCAACGGCGGCAGCGGCAGCATCGGCGGCATGGGCGGGTTCGGCATGGGCGTCGGCGTGGGCGGGTTCGAAGGCGGTGGCGGCGGTGAAGGCGGAGCACTGCTGGTCGCGGTGTCGCTGCGTGCGAGTGGCCAACGGGAGGGTTGGCCGTCCGGCGGTGGAGGAGGTAAATTGGGTGGCGGCAGTGGTGGGGGCGTAAGAAATTATGTGGTTCGTGCGGAAAGCGGCAGCGAGGTTGGTGGACGCCGTTTGGTCGGGTGGGGTTGTTGCAAGCTTTCGCACGGCGGCCGATGAATACTGCGAGGCGGAGTCTGATGTGGATGGGCGCCAGGTTTGAAAATCGCCTTCCATCAACCTGGTGGTGTGTCCTCAGCTCACTTTGGCGAATGAAGGCGGCCAAGGCAAACCTTCGCGAGATCTACTCGCCCCCGTGATACCCCGAATTCTTTTTCCTTTTCGACGCTTACTAAACAACCGCCCGCTTTTCTTTATTCAGGGGACGTGCGAGTCTCATATTGCGCGAAACGACGCGGCACCGACCGAGTCCTCCAGGCAAGATGTCGGCATGTCGCGAGTCCCGCCGTGCCGCGATACCGACAGCTTCCTTGCGCTTGGCGTCCTCAGCAAGACGAGCAACCTCCGCCGTCGGTGCGACCCTCCCGCGTCCCTACCGCCGACCAATCCTCGAGACACACATCACGAAGAAGTGGCTAGAACCGCTCGCCACTCCGTTGTTGGTGCACCGTGTCACCTCCGATTTGTGATCACCCTCCACTCTGACGGAATGGCCACCACCGCGCAAGGACGGGGCTGTCTGGCTGGCGTCATGCACCCGACCAAACAGGTCTGCAGCAGCGCGTCGTGTGGGCGTGGCTGCTCACCAAGGGCCGGCGGGTCCCGACAGTGCTGCATGCCGGCCATCCTGCGAGCCAGGCGAAGCTGCGAGTCGCCGGAACGCGGAAGACGTGGCGTGCATCCTTCAGGGCGACAGGGGTGGCAATGCCTCGGCCCTGCCCGGCGTGAATGCGACCGCTTCAACGACGAGCAAGGTTATTCAACGGTCGGCGGCCCTGCTGTACACGCTCGCTGGCGTGCAGTCGAGCAGAACGCTTGCGCACGAGTCGTTGCTTGCGGATGCTGTGCGGGAGGAGCAGCGGCTGCACGCCGACCTCGCGGCGATCCGTGGCGAGGACGGCGCTTTCTACGCCACAAAGGCGTTGCTTGGCTTCGCCAGTGCGTCGCCCAATCTCACGAGTTCATCGCGCTGGCAGACGACGACGCCTATGTGCGCCTTTCCTCTGTGGTCGCCGACCTTCTCCTGGTGAGAGAGCGCGGGCTGTCGAACGTGGTCTACGGAGGCATCGAGCGGTACACCTTTGACCGCAGGAGAGCATTCACATAGTGACACAGGGTGGCCTTCCGCCAGCTGTGGTCATCGAGGGCGCGCAGAGGCTGGTCGAGGCCGCCTCCACGCCGACCGGGGATTCAGGCCGGGCGTCAGCCAATCCCGTCCCCGTGGCAGATATGGTCGCGGTAGCAGTCGACACCGCCAGGAAGCAGTGGCAGACGGACGCCGCAGGAGGGCGTGTCTTGGTTGACGTACTGGTGGGGCACATCTTGGGATCGGAGAATGACGGCCAGGGCGCCCCCACAACGCGGGTCGAACCGCGCTTGCGAACGGCACGAGCCTCACACCTCACGCCTATGAATAGGCGCCGCCAACGTGACGTGGGTTGATCTGGGCGTTACATTCTCTAAACGGACTGAGCACCTGGTTGGGTGGCGCGATGTAGATGGAATTACGCCACATTCTTGCATTCTAGCTGGCACTCGAGACCATAGGGCTTTGCCTGTCCATCGCAATTGTGCCGCGCACTGTGTCTGTAGTCGTTCCTTCACGTTGTAAGGTGTGCTGTAGGTTCCGCGAGATGCGGGCGCACTTTGACGTGCGCCGTGCAGGCGAGTGCCTCCGCTTGCTCCACTTTGGGTCAGAGAGCAAGCGGATTGCAAAGTCGAGGAACCACACGCACCTCTCCTTTCTGAACGCATCGCTGTCAGCACTATCACCGACGGGGAGAACGCCGCACCGGCAGCCGTCGAGCATCTCATGTTGGCCATATGCCAGCCAGAGCGTGGTGGAAATAGTAAAACAGACGCACGGGCGAGAGCGACAGGTCCAGGTCGCAGGTGGTGTAATATTTTGTGTGAGGCGCTGTAAAAGTCGCTTCTATCTCGAATCGAGGGCACCAATAAATATTACACAGAGAAATCTCTCATGAGACAAGTCCCAGCTTCTCCAACAATCGCTTATTCTCGCGGATGTTCTCTTGCACCCAAAGCTCATACTCGCTCAACTCGTCTGCGGGGTCGTCAAACTCCTTGAGGTTCAAGTACTTGTAGAAGGGCACTCCGGTCCTCGACACGCGAGTCTCGAGCCAGCTGCCGCTGCCGCTGGAGCGGTGCGCCGTGACGCCCATGCGGTCCAAGCGCTCATAGAGCTCCGTGCGGACGGACGGCTTCCCGATCGCCGCGAGCACCTCCGCCTGGAAGGCTTCAAAGATGTTCAAGCAGATGGTCTGGGCGACGGCCGCGTACTGTGCCGTCAGGCGGCCACGGAGCTGTGGCTGCTCGTGCGCCTCGTAGGAGAAGGAGGCGAGTTGCTCCATCGGATGCAGCCTGTTCACAGGAGGAGTGTGAAGCGCGCACAGATCTCGAGGGAGAAGGTGGCGAGCGGGTCGCCTGCGCAAGTGGCCGTAGTCAAGCTGCCGGACCTGGGCGGGGGTGAGCGGCAGCTCGCGATCCTTGAAGTGCTCGGCGACGCAGAGCAGGGTCCCCGGAGTCGTCAAACTGCCGTACGAACTCGTTGGCGACCGTGCGCCGTATTGGTAGCCCAAGCTGACGACGTGCGAGTCGCTCGTCGCCATGCGAAACTTGGGGGCGTTGATGAAGAGGTCCGGGCTGGATTCCTGTGAGAAGTCCTGCAGAATGGCTCGCAGCGGCGTGGGCGCGACGGACTGCGGCGGCGGCGGCGTAAAGCGGTCGAGCGCGGCCCGGTCTCGAAAGCCCACCAGGACAAGCCGCTGGCGGGCGCTGGCGCAGCGAAACTGCGAGCCGGACACGACGAAGACCTTGCAGTAAAAGCCGAGGCGCTCGATGCGGTCGAGGGTGATGTGGTTGAGCAGGGCCGGGACGTTCTCGCAGATCAGGCACTTGTCCTCGAGCAGCAGCACGTCGCGGCGGTCGCACAGCGCTTTGGCGAGCAGGTCAAAGTTGTCGCCAAAGTGCACGTCGTCAAAGCCAAGGCCATTGCCGGCGGGCGAGAAGGGCTTGCAGCAGAAGCCGCAGTAGATCACATCCGTCGAGCGGCTCACCCGCGGGTCCTTGCCCATCCTCCAGATGTTGTCGAGCGGCTCCTTCGAGCGGAACGTGGCCACGTACTGTGCGCGTGCGTCGCGCGCGCTGTCGCAGGCGCCGACGCAGAGGCCGCCGCCGCGAAGGCCGACGCGGGTGAAGCCAAAACAGGGCCCGTGCGCCCAGTCCTGTGCGTGGGGCTTGGGAGGGGTGGAGAGCTTGGAGGGCTCGGAGGGCTCGGAGGGCAGAGAGGCACGAGGGTGGCGCTCTCGTGAGGGCTCGGGATGGCTCACAAGGGATACCTGGAAGGTGAAGCGGGCGGTGGCGTACGCCTCATCGCTGGCAAAGGGGGCGATGGCCACCGGCGGCACGACCGCCCTCTGGAGGTAGGCCGGAGGGCGGTCGTCACGCACGTCGAGGTAGACGTCGGAGCACTCCTCGCATGTGATCTCTATGGCGGTGGAGTCGCTCAACTCCTTCTGCTTGAGATGCCACCCCGATCCCACGCGCTGCGCGCACGAGACGTGCGCGGCGTGGCGGCACCCCGCGCCCTGCCCTCCGCAGAGCACGAGCCCCGCGGTGTGGTTCCGGTCCAAGCAGCCCGGCGCGGTGCAGCGCCAGCCGCTCCTCCTCACCGCCTCTATCACATCGCGCCTGCGGCGGGAGTCGCGATACCTGCTCTTGAGGCACGCGCCGCAGCCCGACCCGCGGCGGCACAAGCTCCCCGACTCGTGCTGCGGCGCGAGCGGGTAGTCGAAGTAGCCGTACTCGATGCAGGACACGTGAGCGAAGCGGCCGCTTTGCTGCCTGCGCAACGCGCCGCCCGGGCTGGGGCACAGGCTGCAAGCGGGCGGCGTGGCCGGCCGGCCTCGCAGATGGAGGCAGACGTCGCACTCGAACCGGATGGAGTCGACCGCCGCGCGCCCAAACTCTTTTCCGGTTGCGTTGACGCCATAGCAAAACATGTGCACGCACAAGCCGCAGCCGTCGCAAAAGACGAGGTGATTCACAGGGCCCGACTCGGAGCCGTGGCGGTAATCGGCGAGGCAGCATATCGCGCAGTGCCGCGCGTTCTCCTCCAAATCGCGCGCCGCCCCTTCCTCCGCGACCACCCCTTTGCTGCACGTGCAAGCCGACTGCCACACAGAGGCGTGAAGCTGACCTGGCGACCGCCTCACGAGCCACCGGCACTCCACCTCCTCCTCCCCGGCCGCCTCGCCCAGCCGCTCCTCCTGCTGCGTGCCGTCGTCGTAATGCACCGTCCTCTCGCCACCGCCGCCTTCAAAGCCGCCGCCGCCGCCCGCCTCGAAGTCGTCTGCCGTGCCCCAGAACCACTTCCTGTCGCCCTCCCACCAGACCTGCACCCGCCGCGCGAGAAGCTTGCGGCAGCCGTCGTGCAAGCGCGCCGTGCAGCCGGGCTTCGCGCACGACACCGGCTCGAGGCTGCAACTACTGCCGCCGCCAGCCTCGTCGCCAGCGCTGCTGACTGTGTCGCCGCCAACGCTGCTGCTACCACCGCGGCCACTGCCGCCGCCACCGCCACCGCTGCCGCCACTGCCGCCACTCACGCCACCTCTCCGCTGTTCGCCCCGCTCCTCCTTGCCCTGCTCCTCGCCCTCCTCCCCGTCAGAAGGCCCGCCGACGCCGCAGAGGATGCATCCTCTGCGTAGCCCCACCTGGCAGCCGAGCGAGTTGCAAGCCCAGCCCTCGCTCCCAGCCGCGCACCGAACAGAGCTCGAGCCGTCCGGCACCGTGTCGCACGGCGGCCGCCTCGCCAGCGCCGCCCTCTCGGCGAGGTCTCTGTGGCGCTCGCACACTCGCAGCCCGGCCACGAGCGGGTGCGGCCTGTTTGCGGCAGTGCAACATCCCGGAATCGCGCACTCGGCGGGGGGGTCGGTCGACCTCATATAGACCACGCCGCCCCTCCGCCGAGGCGGCGTTGGCGTGGAAGCCGACTGTGCGGGCCGCTTCTTGCCGCGCTTGGTGGGTGGGTTTATCAGGGAAAAGGGTCGCTGCGAGCGCCGCCTCCGAGTGGCCGACGCGTTGCCACCGGGAGAGCACGCAACCTGCAGCCCTGTGAGGGCAGCCTCCTCCAGCCCGGAGCCGGCAACTGCATCGTCATCGGACGACGACATATCCCACCAGTCCACGGCGGGTGTGCTCGCCTCGAGCCCGGAGCCGGCAGCAGCGCCGTCACGAGCGGTGGCAGCCTCGCCGTCGCAGCCGCCGCTGCTGCCGCTGCTGCTGCCCCCGCCCCCACCGCCACCGCTAGCCCATGAGGATCCGTGCTCGCGGCCTGGCTGCTCCAGCGAGGCCTCCGAGTTGGATTCCAGCTGCAGGCCGTCCTCCGTCGCCTGCTGCTCCTCCTCCTCCTCCGCTGCCTGCTGCTGCTGCTGCCGCTCCTCTACCTGCTCCTCCTCCTCCGCCGCCGCCGCCGCCTGCTGCTGCTGCTGCCGCTCCTCTACCTGCTCCTCCTCCTCCGCCGCCGCCGCCGCTACCGCCGCATCGGTAGCCGTCAGCGCTAGCGAGGGTGCCGCGGGCTGCGCCTCCGCGTTCACAGCGGCGTTGTTAGCCATTGCGGCGGCGGCGGCGGCGGCAGTGATGGAGGAGACGGGCGAATACGGAGGCTGCGAGTCCACCCATTGCGTGAGGCGTGCCCAGGTCCAAAGCGTGGCCCCATCTCGGTACGAGATCTGCCACTCGTCTCCCGTCGTCCTTCCGCCGTACTTCCGAAACTCGACGATCTCCCCGCGCATGTGGGTGTTCAAGTCGCGCCGCCATCCAAGGATGGGCCTGCCAAAATCAGGGCAGGCCGGACGTCCTGCGGCGCGCGAGGAACGCTGCTTTTGCGCGATCGGGAGGCTCATGAGCTTCGAGGCACAAATGGCGCGAGTGCGCGAGAGGCCGAGGCCGGTCCAATTTCTTCTGCGTGTAGTACGGTGCGAAACCGAAAAGGGTATACCATACCCCGCAAAACCTTAACCCTCCTGGCGCTCAGAAATTTCGAACCCCGCGGATTGTGTCCCCTTCCACGGCTGGTATATGCTTGCGTCGCTGCCACTCCCGGAAATTCGCTAGCCTCATCTCGTCTTATCATCATCTGGTCTGATGTCGCTGCCAGCCCTTGTGACGCTAGTGTTGGCGGCGGAGGGCTACCATCTTCCACTCCGAGGCGGCGTTGCCTCAACACAAGTGGCCCACCCCTCACGCCCGAACCTGCGCGGTGTTTTTGGGCAGCACACTGCTGAAGAAGCGGCCAATGATCTGCCGTCGGACGGGTCAGTCACGGCATCGCCACAAGCCCATAGATCATCGGAAGCAATCTTCCCTACCTTGGGCACGTCCATTTCTCGGGCCCGACTGCTTCTGCTCGCGACCGCTGCGCTCTGGGGCACGTACCCCGTGCTTCTTCGCGCCGTCTACTCGACTGGCATTCCATGCCCACCCTCTGTCGTGTCGGCGGTGCGCTGTACAGCACGTACTCTCTACACCTCCCTCGTCATCGGCCATATCCACCGTCGCCTCGACTCACAGCCTCGCCGCCTCCTCGCCCTCGCGCAGGTGCGGTACGTGCTGATGGCGACACTGTCATCGGGCTTGGTCCTCGCGCGCCGTATGCGGCGGCCGCAAACGAGCGGTGAGGGCGAGCGCTCTATGAGTCGGGCCGCCTTTTGCCTCGCGACTGCAGAGCTCTCGCTAATCGGTGCAAGCGGGAACCTCCTTTCCGCCTGGGCGATTGCCCGGCTGTCGGCGGCTCGCTCGGAGGTGCTGATGGCGACGGTGCACGTCTTCGTGCCACTGCTGCAGGCGCAGTCAACCCTCGTCCTGTGCTTTGCAACCCCCCTCCCTCTGCCTCGCACTCCCCCCCCCCCCCCTATCAGGCGCTCACGCTGCCCTCCTCTCGAGTCGGAGGCCGCACCTGGCTCTCCTGCGGCCTCTCCTGTGCCGCGGTGCTCTCGGTCGCTCGCAGGCACGCGCTCTCCGATGCGTGGAAACGCAACCACCCTCGATCCACAGCACGAGTGGACATTGCACTTGACCGTGACGCGTCCGCGACGCGTCCCTCAGATCGGCGGCGAGCGGCGACGCCTCCCTCCTCGCCTCCTCTCCCGCGGATTCGCTCGCCCCAGCCGCGCTGCTGTGCTCCGCGCTGCTGTACTCGCTCGGCCGCGTGCGCTGCTCTCACTGGGTGAGCACTCTTGGACGCTAGATCTCGGTCAGATCTCGGCTAAATCTCGTCCAATTCTCGGCGCAATCCCGGATGAATCTCGGCCAAGGTGCAACGCTTTGACGCGGCGCAGCTCAACCACGCACGCATCCTCGGCATGGCACTCGTGGCGTGCAGCGCGGTGGCCGTCGCCGCGGCCGGCGGCGGCGCCGCCGCCACCGGCCTCGCCGCCGTTGCCTTGATCTCTCCTCTGCAGTGGGGGCTGCTGCTGCTCTCTGTGCTCCTCTCGGGGTACCTCGGCTCGCGCTGCCTGTTCGAGGCGCAGCGCACGATGCACGCCTCGTCGGCGCAGCCCTTCCTCGCGCCGCAGCCGCTCTTCGCCGCGCTCTGGGCGCCTCCTCCTTTGTTTGGCTCATCGACCCCTGCACGCTGTGAGGAGCCGGTGTCCACGCTAGGCGCGCTTCCTCCTCGGCGAGGCCATCGACCCCTCCCTCGTCGCCGCCGGCGCCCTGATGGCGAGCGCTGCCGGCATCGCCTCCACCGACACCGCCGCCGGCGTCTCCTCCACCGACGCGCCTGCCACGCGTCCCGTCGCGGCTGCAGTCGCTTCACCGGCCGCCGCTGCTCCCGAATGCCCAAGCGAGAGCTTAGGCGCGCATCGGCCGAGGCTTGCGATGCCGGTGGCGGCGGCGGCGGCGGCGTCGGTGCCGGCGGCGGCGGCGTTGTCAGTGGCGGCGGCGGCGGCGGCGGCGTTGCCAGTGGCGTCGGCGTAGCTCTGATTTGGGCGGGACAACGGGTGTCCAGCTCATGGCTTGCAGCCGCGCCGAGAGCACGCCTGTATCATTCTCGTCTATTTGCACACGTCCCGGGTCCCCTGTGAACGCCGCCCGGCGGGCGAGATCGACTCTTCGGTGCTGCGGTAGAGAGCCGACCGGCCGGCGTGTGGCGAGATATGTGTGCCGATGTCGTGTTGTCGAGACACGAGAGCCCCCGGTCGCGCGGTCGGCCCCGGTGTGTGCGGTGTCCGGTGTGCGGCGGCGAGCGAGCCGTGAGTGTCAGGTGTCACACAACCTCCACGCTCCAGTCAGAGCTGACAGTTTCACGTGACAGCTGTCTAGGCTCTAGCGCTCTGCCTCTGGGAACCTGCAACCTCATCCTCGAGACTGTGTGTGTTGTAGTGTATGCTCATGCGTCATGGTGCCCTGCGCGGCTGTATTAAATGTACTACTTATGAGCACAGCTCTCAGGGGCTAGCCTGTGTGCCGCGCTTCTCCCTATGCCACAGGCGCAAGTCAAAAGCGAGACCCGACACGACGAGACGAGCGCAAAATGCCCGCCATCTGGGAAAAACGCCAACAGCGGCTGTGCGCGGCGGGGGCGGTGAGCGCACGCCGAGAGCGATTGCAGGCAGCGCAGCAGGCAGCCCACGGGACGCCGCCCACAAAAGCGCAAGGATCGCCGGCGCAACCGCAATGTGGCGGCGCTACTGCGCGGCGGCGGCGAGAGGCAGCCGCTGGCGCTGGATGACGTCGCGCGCCGTGTCCACCTTGCCGTCCCGCAAGTCGAGGTAGACGAGCGCGAGCTGCGCCTGCTCGCGACGAAGAGGGCGCGTGAGCCAGACACAGACCACGGCAGGGCGAGAGACGCGGCACGAACGCGCCGTGCGGCTCTCGGCGCCGCCGAGCGACATGGCCTGCGCGACGCACGCGCGCGCCTGCGCCAAATCATCGCGCAACACGTGCACCGACGCGAGCGTCGCGTAGAGGCCGGCCGCCGCCTTGCCGTCCCCCAGCGCCGCCCTCTCATACCACACGTTGCGCACCGGCTCCAGCTCGTTGCCCTCTCCGGCGGGCGGCGCCTCGGAGGCGGCCACGACGCCGCCCATCGCGTCGGAGAGGGCGAGCGCCTCCCGCGCGTGCGGCGCCGCCTACCGATCGACCAGCCCACGCCACTCATCGACGGACCCAGCAGCCCCCCTCCCTGCGCGCGCGAGCCGCCACCTCGGCGGAGCGGTCGAGGTGGCAGAGCGCGTCGCACGCGAAGGTGTGCGCGTGCGCCTTGAGGTTGTGGGCGAGGCCCTCGCACGCGAGCAGCGCCTCGCACCAGCCGAGCGCGGCGAGCGGGTCGGCGAGCACGAGCGCGCACCACGCCAGCTGCAGCGTCGCGACGCGTCGCACCGTGTGCACCTGCAGCGCGTACTCGTCCGCCTGCGAGAGGGTGCCCTGCGCCGCGCGCGCCACCAGCGCGCCGTGCGCTAGCCCGCCCGCCGTGCGCAGCGCCTCGTCGCACTGTGTGATCGCCGCGCGCAGGCACTTGACGCCGTGCTCGAGCGTGGGCGCCGCGATTGCGCTCTCCGTCGTCGGCTGAGGCGGCGGCTCCTCAGACTCGTCGGCGATCTCCGCGGCGGCGAGCCGCTCGCCGACCGGCAGCAGCAGCCGCCGCCTCCCCCCCACGCCGAGCATCTCGCACCCGACCGCGGACGGGCGCGAGCCGGCGCGGCCCGCGCGCACCGCCTGCTCGCGCTCGAGGTGCGCCGCGATGCACGCCTGAGGCGAGGGGCGGCGCCACACGTCAGTGTGGGGCAAGGGCCGGGCCACGCCGCGCATCTCGGCGCATCTCGCGCCTCCCCCGCGCGTAGCCAGGCGCGCGGCTGGCGGTGCAGCAGCTTGAGCGCCGCGTGGAAGCATGCGAAGGCGGCCTCCCCCTTGCCCGCGAGCAGCAGCTGCAGGCCGCGGTTGTACTCGAGCTCGCTGCGCCGGTCGCACGAGAAGTGCGTCAGCGGCACCGCCTCGCCATTGGCGGCCGGCGCGCAGAGGCTCGCGTTCTCGCGCAGCGCGCGCCCAAAGTAGAAGGCTGCGGCGGTGTGCCGGCGCATGCTGTGGTGGATGCAGCCCATGTTGTTGTAGTAGAGCGCGGCGAAGTTTGGGTCGCGCTCCGACCGCTGGTTGCAGTTGGAGAGCAGCTTCATCGCCTTGCGGTAGTTTTGGCGCAGCGACTCGTTGTTGGCCTGCGGGGCGAGGGGGGGAGGAGCGCCCGCGGCTGGGACGAGGGGGGCGAGGGGATTTGGGGGCGTGGCGGTTGCGGCGGGGGCGACAGGCTGGGAGACATGTGTCGCGGCGCCTTGAGGAAGAGCCCGGTCGTGTCTTGCGCGCAAGCGTTGAGGGTCGTCTTGATCTCGCGCTTGGACGACTTTGAGGAGCGGGCGAGCAGCGCGAGCTTCGCCTTGTACAGGTTCAGCGCCGATCGAACCTCCTCGGGCGAGATGTCTGTCGGCGGCCGCCGCGCCGAGCGCTTGTTGGGCCAGTCGCTCGGCAGCGACGAGGCGCCGTCGGCGGAGTCGCGCGACTCGGCCGAGCCGTTCTCGCGGCCTCCGTCGGACTTGGTGAGCATGGCGTAGGAGCGCTCGAGGTAGGCGAGCACCTCGGCCGCCTTCTCCAGCTGCCGCTGCAGCAGCTGCGGTGGGGGCGGGGGGCGCAGGGAGGTGGGCTGCGAGAGAGAGGGGCGAGGCCGAGAGCCAGAGCGAGGGATATTGGGAGTTGAGGGGTGCGCCGGTCCGCCGTGCGCGAGGCAGAGCGGCGCCTGAAGGTCGAGCAGCAGGAAGCACGAGCGGAAGGCGAGGAACTCGTCCACCGGCTCGATCTGCGCAAACATGTCGTCGAGGACGGCGCGCGCCTGCGAGAGGGTTCCGAGAGGGTTCCGAGCAGGCTCCGATCCAATCCCTCTCTCGGTGGTGCGCGGCGCTGCGCCTTGCCGTATTGCTTGAGCTGGTACAGCACCACCGCGCTGTTGTACGCCAGCAGCGACGGGTCTGCGTCCCCCACCAGGTCACTGCCGATCGAGTCGGACGCGTCGGCCTTCTCGCGCGCCTGGCGGCGGCGAGGGCGGCGGCGGTGAGGGCGGCGGCGGCGAGGGCGGCGGCGAGGGCGGCGGCGGAAAAGGAGCGGTGGCAGTGATGGTGGCGTTGAAGGCGGCGGTTGTGAGGGTGGTGATAGTGGTGGCGGTGAGGGTGGCAGCGGTGAGCTAACGGGCGTGACCAGGTTGGGCGAGAGTGCGGATGCAGACGGGAGGAGAGCGGCAGCGGAGCGGGGGCTCTATTACCTCCTCTACTCGCGCCCGAAGGCGCTCCAGCACTGCGAGCAGCTTGCGTGGCTCTTTGCAGCCGCCCATCGCGTAGTCGGTGATGGCCACATTGTGCAGCACTTTTGGGTCTGCGCACGCGCGCAGGGCGCGGTCAGGCACTTGTTGCGCAGAGAGAGAGGCAGCGCAAAGCGCAAGCGGCGACGCACCCTGGTCCCGGCTACTGAGGATGCCCTGCAACAGGGAGTGCGCCGTGGCGTGGTCGCCCTCCGTGTAGGCGGCCGCAGCGGCGGCAGCCTCGGAGGGGTCGTCGGGCATGGGTCAGGCAAGCGCTGACAGAGCGCTGACAGAGCACAAATCCGCGGAAGCGAAGAAGAAGAAAGTCACCGCTTTGCGCAGGTAGGGACCCTGTCCTCCTCCCCTATGGGGTTTTTATGTTTTAGGTATGTTGCCACGCTGCTTTCTTTCTTTTTCAAAGAATGGGCTCGATGAGACGAAAACAAATGTGGGCCCGAGAGCGATATGCCATGTCCGCCTTGCGGTTGTTTCATAACATCGAAGGCTAAGCTCAAAAACAACTTCATAACACGGGAGCCTCGTAGCCTACCCTTCCGCTCGCTCTCCCGCTCCGAGCTCGCGCACTCCGCCGCACTCGTTTCGCCCATGCCCAAGGAGATCAAGGTCAAGCGTCGCGGCGGCGACGGCGGCGGCGCGGCCGGCGGCGGCGCCGCCGCCTCGAGCAGCGCGCCGTACCACCGGCACGTCGGCGTGCAGCTGCAGCACTCGCTCGGCCAGCACCTGCTCAAGAACCCGCTGGTGACGGCAGCGATGATCGAGAAGGCGTCGATCAAGAGCACCGACGTCGTCCTCGAGATCGGCCCCGGCACCGGAAACCTCACCCTCAAGCTCCTCGAGGCGGCGAAAAAGGCGCTCGCCAGCGCACACCGCCTTGCGCACACAAACCGCACACGCGCATTGCGCCCCGCACCACCGCCGCACACAGCACGGCACATGCGGCGCTCTCGCGAGTGGGTGGCCGCGGGTGGTCGCTGCGTGCCGACCGCAAGAGCGATTACGCGGCTCCAGACACTCCCGGCCCCACACAGCTGCGCCTCTCTCAAGGGAAGACGAACCTGGATGACGAATCCGACGCCTCCGCCGCGGGGCTCCCCCGCGGCGTGGCAAGCCTGAGCGAAACAACGAGGCATTTGTCTGATGAGACACGGGGGTGGCAGAGTCCCCAGCCGGACACACACGCACGCGCGCGCGACACCGCCGCTTTGGGTCTCCGAGGCTCGGCTGATCCGAGCCTCGCCTTCGGCCCCGGCCGACGCCCATCCGTCCGTGGCCCCACCCCTGAAGCCAGACCGTACCGTGGCCTCGCTAACCACCCTCGCCACCCAAGCCGCGGGGGGCGGTCAGTAGGCGCACGCACAGTAGGCACACCACAGCGGTCAGTAGGCACTCGCACACCACAGCCACACTCCCCCCCGCCACAGCCCGCCCCTGCCCTGCCCGCTGGCAGGTGGTCGCCGTCGAGCACGACGGGCGGATGGTCGTCGAGCTCCAGAAGCGGCTGCACGGCACCGCAGAGGGGCGGCGGCTGCAGCTGATCCACGCCGACGTGATGAAGGTGCGGGGCGCAAGCACCACCTCTTCCGCACCTCGGCCTCACCTCGGCCGCACTCGGCCGCACTCGGCCGCACCTCGGCCGCACCTCGGCCGCACCTCGGCCGCACCTCGGCCGCACCTCGGCCGCACCTCGGCCGCACCTCGGCCTCGCTCCGGCGGTCAGGTCGAGCTCCCCTTCTTCAACCTCTGCGTGGCCAACATCCCGTACCAGATCTCGTCGCCGCTCGTCTTCAAGCTGCTCGCCCACCCGCAGGTGCGACACACGGCCCACCCGCCGCCGCCCCCACGCTGATATGCCACGCCCACGCCGGTATATGCCACCACCTCGGCCTCACCCCCTCACCCCCTCACCCCCTCACTCTTGTACGTTTCTCTTGGCACCTTGGAGCTGCTGAGGGGCGCGACAGGGAACATATGGCCTTGAGTTATGGTACGCCAACTCAGGATGTGGGCACCCAGCTGGCTGTGTGTCTTGTGAGCCCTTTGTGACTGGTGCGTCGCTCGGGCGAGCCGTCATCTCCTGCTCTAGCGTCCACCCTTAACCCGCTGGTGTCCAGTCCAGAGCCTGGCTGGTCTACACCTTTTCTACCAAACCTACCTAGCCTCTCGACTTCTTTTTCCCACATCCAAAACAAATC